GACGTTTTTTCTTCTATCTGGATGTCACACTAGAATTGTTAGGATTCAGTTTTTTGATTTTCTTTAAAAGATTTGTACTCAATGTGCGGACTCTCATAATCCCGGAACCCGGAAAAGCTGTTGCTTAGCTCTAATACCCTTAGCTCTAATAGTAAGCTAAATACCGTAATTGAAACTTATTATCGGCATCGTAATTATCGTAATCTAGCGGCTAATTTAGATTTATCTATTTATTTATCTATTTATTTCTTTATCTATTTATCTATTTATTTATTTATCTATTTATCTATTTATCTACTTATCTATATTATTTCAATATTATCTCAATATTATCTTGTCTTCTTACCTTAGCTCTCTCATGCATTGGATCGGTTGTTTCCAAGTGTCCGACATCTTCGGTCGGTTCGACGACTTGCCATGGGTAATTGGGAGTCTAAAGTCGAAAAAATAAACACTAAAACATAGGAAAAACTAGAGAAAAATCGATAAAGTTAACAAATATCGATTCTTAAAATTAACAAATTAAAACCAAAAAAAGAAAAAGGGAAAATGATGTTATGGTGTGTAAGAAGCTGAGCTTTTTTCACATCAAAATCATTTCAAAATGCGATTTGGGTAAATGAAACGGCTATCTAGTCAATTTCATACTTTGTGCCACAGCATTTCACACATTTTTCTTTTCCTTTTGGCGTGCTGTTTTTGCAAGTCAATTCAATTAATTTAATTAATTCAATTAAATTCAATTCAATCCAAATCAATCCAAATCAATCCAAATCAATTCAATTCAATTCAATTCTTTTTCATTTTATTGATTATTGCAACACAAAACGAGCCAAGGCATCAAGCCAAATTAAAGAGTTTTGGCAACTTAAAATGAGAGAAAAGGGTTTGTGCTTTTTGTGGACGGAAACGATTGGACTTTATCGTCAAATATTATAACTAAAAGTCAAGATAAAGACTAAATTAAAAGAAACTTAGCAAAGACAAGGGTCATTAGACCACCGCTGTCCAGACAGGCAATTAGGCCACCGCTGTCCAGACAAGGGCAATTAGGCCACTGCTGTCCAGACCAGGGCCATTAGGCCACCGCTGTCCAGACCAGGGCTATTAGGCCACCGCTGTCCAGACAGGCAATTAGGCCACTGCTGTCCAGACCAGGACCATTAGGCCACCGTTGTCCAGACCAGGGCCATTAGGCCACCGCTGTCCAGATCCCAGCTGGCCGCCGCTCTCCACTGAAAAGCGCGCTTTAAAGCTTCAATTCAATTTTGACGCATTTGCAAGCTTATTTGGTAGATTTTGATTCTAGATTCTGAATCTCCATACTCGATTTGATAAGATGTATTTGATCGGGAAGCTCAGGGGAGGTTTGGGACTTTTCCTAGTTCAGCTGAAGCTGAAGAAGCCAAACAGCTGAAGGAAACAGCCAAACAGCTGAACCAAACAGCCAAACAGCTAGAAGGAGTCTATATAAGCCGGCCCTCGACTTTTGAGACCTAGTTCTTGTACATAATCCCTCACTGATTCCATCCAAGCACAAACCCCCACTCTCCACTGTTCAGCTAGGTACTAGTCTCTGATTGTTGAATCTGATGATTCTAGTACCCAGCCTTGCTGCTCACCTTGTTCTTCCACTCTTCCTCTCTCCTCCTCCGCTCCTCGTCCTCTCTCCTCATCCGCTCCTCATCCTCTCTCTCTCTCCTCCTCCTCTCCTCTTCCTCTCTCCTTCTCCTCTCATCCTCCTCTTCCCTCCTCCTCCTCGCCGCATCGTCAGCCTCTTTCCTCCTCCTTTCCTCCTCCTCTCTCCTCCGTCTTTCCTCTTCTTCCCTCCTTCTCCTCGCTTCTTCATCAGCAGCTCTTCTCGCTCCTTCAGCTGCCTCTCTTTCTCTCCTCAGTCTATCCGCGTCTTCCAATGCTTTTAATCTAGCCGCTTCAAAAGCTCTCCTTCTTTCCTCTTCTTCAGCTCGTCGTCGATCTTCTTCTTCCTGCAGTTTAATGTGAACACAAATTTGTGGAATTAGATACGTTGACTAAGGTTTATAAGACTTATTCAATGTCAAAGTGAGAATTGGTAGATGTACCACTGTACTATACTGTACTGTACTGTACGTAAAGGTACTGGCAGTACTGTACTGTACGGAAAAGGTACTGGCAGTACTGTACTGTCCTGTACTGTCCTGTACTGTCCTATACTGTCCTATACTGTCCTGTACTGTCCTGTACTGTCCCGTCCTGTCCTGTCCTGCCTGTACTGTCCCGTCCTGTCCTGTCCTGTCCTATCCTGTCCTGTCCTATCCTGTCCTGTACTGTACTGCCAGTACTGTCTAGACTACTCAGTCATACTGTATACCTTTAGTCAACGTATCCTTTTGTTATTGAATTCACTTCTTCAGCCTCACTCAACTCTTTGTTATGATTTGGTTAAAGAATAGCAAAGTTATCAGCAACGCTAGTCTTGAACAAATGGTGCATTTGTGCTGTAAATTCACCTTCTGGCTCACTGAAAATCCGGTGAACCAGATAGGGGTTCGTTTACAAAAGAAGACACCACGTGAACAAGTCTACCTCACACAATTATCTGTTAGTGAAAAGTGCTCAAGAAAGAGCGCATTCGAGAGAAGAAATGGAATGACTGACGGACAAAAAAAACAAACCTGCTTCTGGCGTTTCCAGTTCTGGATGAGCACCTGGAAATGGGAATTGTTGTTGATAAGATTGCAAGCAGATAGATAGACTTAGTTTAGACTGTTGTACTTGTAATTGTACTTGTACAAGGGTCTAGTACTTGACAAGGGTCTAGTACTTGTACAAGGATCTAGTACTTGTAATTGTACTTGTACAAGGGTCTAGTACTTGTACAAGGGTTCTTGCAGTGTACAAGAATACTGCAAGTACTTGGTAAAGTTCGATGAGCGACTAAGCTCAGTTCGCGAAGTCTACCGTGCTCAGGAGTGCTTCATGCCTGGCCTTAGGCCTTGGAAACCAAGTCCGACCAAACCAGACCAAGTCCGGTAAGAGGAAGTACGCGAGTTCGAGTCCCGGTAGTGTTTTTCTTTTTGATCTACCAACTGATAAGATACGCAGCTGTCTACAAAGTCTATAGTACTCTTTTAAACTGTACTAAACTGTACTAGAGCTACAGTAACCCGTAAATGTACTGCAGTACTCTTCTAAACTGTACTAGATAGATGAATTGTTACAGTACTCTTCGAAATGTCCTACAGTACTCCTTAAAACCATTTCCCTCACCTGCATATGATTTCTTCGCTCCAAAATCAATGACGAGAGTTGAGCAAATCGTCGATTCAACTGCTCTAACTCTTCTTTCACTTGTTCAGCTCCGTTTTTCGGTTGTGGATCGGATCTGGAAGGAATTGGCTGTGTTCTAGAGATCTAGAGGCGTTCAGGCGAAACTACGCAACTCGCGACACGCTAGAAATGATTGAGAAACTACAAGGAAACGACTAGGGAAAGGGATTTCTAATCGGAAATGATTAGGGAAAGGAGTTTCTAGCCAAAGGAAAAGCCTAAACCTAAGCCTAAGCCTAAGGAAAAGCCAAACGGCTCTACAAATCAATCAAGTCAACAGCTTTGTTGTCAACAGCTTTGTTGTCTAGAGCTTTGTTGTCTACAGCTTTGTTGACTTGATACAAAGCTGTAGACTTGATTAAAGAGACAGGAGAGTTAGGAGAAAAGAGATCAGTACGAAAATCTCGATTTAGATATCGTAAGCCAATATTGTAAGCTAAATTTAGACTTAAATGTCTTAAAAACTTAAATTTAGATTTTAAATGAAAGCAATAAATGCTTAAAATGATAAGATACTCAATTAAAACAATTAAATCAATCAAATCAATTAAAACTGTCTCATTGTCAGGCTCAGGCTTAGGCTTAGGCTCAGGCTCAGGCCCAGGCCTAAGCCCAAGCCTAAGCCTAAGCTCTCATTGTCATTCTCTCATTCTCATTCTCATTCTCTCATTCTTATTCTCTCATTCTCATTCTCTCATTCTCATTCTCTCATTCTTATTCTCTCATTCTCATTCTCTCATTCTCAAATCCACCTTCTAAACTCTCTTCGAATGCCTTGTCCATGATGACGAGTGACTCCATCTTGATATCCATTTAAGCGAAGATCGAAATTCTGTAAATGGGTTTAAATACGAATTTTTCTATCAGAATCTATCAGAAGTACGACAATCCGGTTGTTTAAAGGTCAAAATGGTCAAGCTGGATGTCACACTAGTGTTTCAAAAACATAGAATCAGCATTTACGCAACTTGGGGACTTTGGTAAGGAGCCGGATGGGAGCTGGGTATTCCCTGATAAACTTTGTACGATAATCCGGTTGTTTAAAGTCAAAAATGGCCGATCTGGATGTCACACTAGTGTTTCATAATAAGAAAATCGAGATTCAGGCAATTTTAGGTAAGGGGTAGGTACTGGATCGGAACCTATGTCTTTACCTTAGCGTCTCGAATGAATTTCCCTCCTTCTCGATTCACATTCTCGATCGCATCTGTGTGCTCTTGCAATTGAGCGTATTCAGCAACGAGAATATCCAATTGTTTTTGATACTCTTCTGGGCGAAGATCTTCCGGCTTTCGAAGTTGATTTATTGTTGCTTCAACCTGAACTTTCAGATAAACTACTAGAACGTCTAGAACGTCTACTAGAACGTCTACTAGAACCTCTAGAACGTCTAGAACGTCTACTAGAACCTCTAGAACGTCTAGAACGTCTACTAGAACGTCTACTAGAACCTCTAGAACGTCTAGAACGTCTACTAGAACGTCTACTAGAACCTCTAGAACGTCTAGAACGTCTACTAGAACCTCTAGAACGTCTAGAACGTCTACTAGAACCTTTAGAACGTCTAGAACGTCTACTAGAACGTCTAGAACCTCTAGAACGTCTACTAGAACGTCTACTAGAACCTCTAGAACGTCTAGAACGTCTACTAGAACGTCCAGAACGTCTAGAACGTCTACTAGAACGTCTAGAACGTCTAGAACGTTTTCCTGAACTTTGAGATAAACTGCCCCTTCGCCAAACCCAAATCCAAAAATGACTCACTCGATCCAACCAAGTCATCTCGTTCTCCCATTCACTTCTGTAAACCATCTGGATTTGCAGAGCTCTCTCGACGGCTTTCAGACGCTCGGCAACCTAGATTATATTGGGAGTTAACGTGCTTTGCGATACTATTAGATCTTTGTTCTTTGTTCTTTGATCTTTGTTTAGCCACGAGTCAGACTATTAGCCCTTTGTTTAGCTGAACTATTATCTAAATGCTTAAAATGAATCTCGAGTACTACCTGTGCTCCAACATTCTCCCAACGAACGTTCAATTGTTGCACCTCTTCTTCAATTCGATCAACGTCGGGGTGGCTGAAAGGTGAGCTTAAGGCTGAGGCTTGAGCTTAAGGCTTGAGCTTAGGCTTAGGCTTAGGCTTCAGGCTTAGGCTTAAGCTTAAGCTTAGGCTTCAGGCTTAGGCTTAGGCTTAGGCTTAGGCTTAATGCTTAGGCTTAAGAATGCTGAGTTGAAAAACCTGTGTGCATCCATTCTCGTCCTTGCCACGTGTTGTCTCAACAAGGCAAGATTTCGATTGAGTGCATCGATGATTGTTTGTTGTTGTTGAAGGACCATATTCATTTCGAGGAGTTGCGAGTGAACGCCACGCAATTTAGCGATATCGGCTGGCATATCGTCGAAGCTGAAAGGGTACTGTAGCTTTAGATGTTGGGTGGAGGCTAAGGGGAACTGGAAACGTCCACTAGAACCTCTAGAACGTCTAGAACGTCTACTAGAACCTCTAGAACGTCTAGAACGTCTACTAGAACCTCTAGAACGTCTACTTGAACGTCTAGAACATCTAGAACGTCTACTAGAACCTCTTGAACGTCTAGAACCTCTAGAACGTCTAGAACGTCTACTAGAACGTCTAGAACGTCTACTAGAACGTCTAGAACGTCTACTAGACAACACCCTCTCTCACCTGCTCAACGTGATCTCGTGTGCTCGCACAATGTCATCGACTTCAAGCATTCCATTCAACACCGCCTCCAACACTTTAATCCTCTCCACGTACATTCTCGACAAATCCCACAAATTCTCCCAAACGGCCGCCAACTTCTCATTGTTCATTCGCTGATTCGGAGACGGATTCGGCAACTGTCTGAACAGCTCCTTCACATTCGCCACATCTGCGTCGAGTGCTTGCAACGCGTCCTCAAACTGTTTATGCTCGAGGATTTCCTTTTCCAACTCTTCAGGTGTTCTTGAAACGGGTTTCCCGACTCGTTCATTCAATTTCCTCCAAGCTTCATCCAATTTCCGAAGCAATTCGGCGACCTTTTGATCGTATTGTGATGCATAATCGGGCTCCGGGGGCTTCTGGCTTTGATTCAACAAATTCCAAAAGTGATCCATCGTCTTTTTCAGCTCGTCCTTCAGCCTAGAAGTTGAAGAATAGGAATATTGAGGGATGTCTTACATTAATGGCTAGATAATGGCTAGATGGACTGGCTAGATCAATGGGATGGCTAGATCAATGGGATGGCTAGATCAATGGGAATGGCTAGCTCAATGGGAATGGCTAGATCAATGGCTAGATCAATGGGAGTGGCTAGATCAATGGGATGGCTAGATCAATAGGAATGGCTAGATCAATGGGAATGGCTAGTACCAGATCCAAAAAGTCGAACTGGTAATAGCATCTACTCTAGTATTAGGCCAAGTATTTCCAAATCTAGTACTGGATCTGAGACCAGCTCCGTACTAGGCCTAGTACAGGTCTAGGACTACTAGACTACTAGACTAATAGACTACTAGACCTACTAGACCTACTAGACCTACTAGACCTACTAGACCTACTAGACCTACTAGACCTACTAGACCTACTAGACTACTAGACTACTAGACTGGAACTCGTACGAAGCCTGATACTAGACTAAGCCTGTTACTAGGTTTGGTGTATCTTATGTTCTGGCTCTGGTACGAAGCCAGAATAAAGAAGGAATTGGGTAAAGTTTCGGAGGGATTGAACCCTAGACTTTGCTTTTGCTTTTCAGGGAATTGATCTAACCACTGAGCTATTCGGTGCCTTAACTTGCCAAGAGAAAGATGGAGGAAGGAAAAAAGAAAGAAAGAAGGGAGGAAGAAGGAAGGAGAAAGAAAGGAAGGAGGGAAGGAGGGAAGGAGGGAAGGATGGAGGGAAGGAAGATGGATGGATGGAGGAAAGGAAGGATGGATGGATGGATGGATGGATGGATGGATGGAAGAAGAAAGACGGATAGAAGGAAAGAGGGAAGAAAGTAGGAAGAAGTAAGGAAGGGGCTTTTGAACCCAACTCGCACAAACCTCTTGTACAATGGATCATTTGGATCCAATTCGGCTAACAACTTGTTGGCATCATCGTTCAACGCTCGAATGATTGCATCTCTTTTCTCTGGATCAATTGAATTGAAAGTATCCAAATCCCATTCTTGAATTTGCTTCATCGTGTTGAGGACGATGTAGAAGCGCACCATTCTGTGCTTTCTCTCCCAAAGTTTCCGGAGTTTCTCGTATTTTTGGAGAAGTCGGTTAAGGATTTCGGTTAAACGGGGATCCGGTGGTGGGATTCGGAAAACGACTGATGGAACTTGACCCTCATGCCCGGAAATGTCACGAATTTTCCAGTGAATCAAGTCCGAGTTCTCCAAAAGGGCCACATCGTCGCCGGCACGGATGTTCACCTAAAGATTTTGATTTAGACAAGTTTTGGAGGCTAAAAATTAGAATTCTCACAGTAATCCCAGCCTGGGATATTCTAATCTAGATAGTTTTCTTATTTTTGTCTTATCTGGAATGCACACTAGCAAAACTATTGATTTCTGTAATTGATCGGTTTAGTTAAACAAGTGGCTGTTCACCTAGGTCAGGACTCGACACTATAACTCGAGTTTCTCTGAAGTAATCTGGATAATTTTCATCTTTTTGTCTTATCTGGAATGCACACTAACAAAGCCATTGTTTGGGTAATTGACCGGTTTAGTTACGCAAATGTCTGTTCACCTAGGTCAGGACTCGACGCTATAACTCGAATCTCACTGAAGTAAACTAGATAGTTTTCTTATTTTTTGTCTTATCTGGAATGCACACTAACAAAGCCATTGTTTGGGTAATTGACCGGTTTAGTTACGCAAATGTCTGTTCACCTAGGTCAGGACTCGACGCTATAACTCGAGTTTCTCTGAAGTAATCTGGATAATTTTCATCTTTTTGTCTTATCTGGAATGCACACTAACAAAGCCATTGTTTGGGTAATTGACCGGTTTAGTTACGCAAATGTCTGTTCACCTAGGTCAGGACTCGACGCTATAACTCGAATCTCACTGAAGTAAACTAGATAGTTTTCTTATTTTTGTCTTATCTGGAATGCACAATAGCAAAGCCATTGATTTGGGTAATTGATCGGTTTAGTTACGCAAGTGCATATTCTACCGAAGCCAGAACTGGTTCCAGATAACTCGAGTTTCTCTGAAGCAATCAATATAATTTTCTTATTTTTGTCTTATCTGGAATGCACAGCAGCAAACAAAGCTATATAATCTAATAATAAGTAGACTACCGTACTTTCGTCTATCTTTAGCTTTAGCTTCAGCCTTTAGCTTTAGCCTTTAGCTTCAGCTTTAGCCTTTAGCTTCAGCCTTTAGCTTTAGCCTTTAGCTTTAGCCTTTAGCCTGAGTCCCACCTCTTTGCTTGAGTAATCGCACAAAGCAGTGACCACGATCGGTCTTGTGATCCTTTCGCCTCTTTGCCACAATGGAGAGATTGTATTTGCTCGTTCAGTCAACGCCAAAAGGACACCGTGATACTTGTTGAGAATCTCCTGGAATTAAAAAAATTGAAATACCGAAATCTTCGCTATTCCCCTATCCAAACCTTGATTTCATCCAATTCCCTCAAAAATCTTTCTCCCTCTTCAAGCGAGAAATCGGTTCTGTTGTAGTTTCTCTCCAAATGTCCGCTTTGTTCTTCCATCCACGCCTCAGCATCAGCCGCTTCTTCCATGAACTAGAAATGAACATGAACTGAACTGGAACTGAACTGGAACTGAACTAGAAATGAATCTGAACTAGAAATGGGCATGAACTAGAAATGGACATGAACTAGAAATGAACAAGAACATGAACTGGATTTGATCTAAAGCTGGATTTGATCTAGAGGAGCCAAGATACCGATTTGAGATTGAGCGCATCCCGTAAATGCTCTTCAAGACATTTCGACAACGATAACAGCCAATCCCATTGTGATTGCATGGTGCGGAGATAGACCTAGATTTGTTTTTGAATAAGCTAGCTGTACAGCTATACTAGCTATCTAGCTATACTATCTAGCTATACTAGCTATCTAGCTATCTAGCTATACTAGCTATCTAGCTATCTAGCTATCTAGCTATCTAGCTATCTAGCTATCTAGCTATCTAGCTATCTAGCTATCTAGCTATCTAGCTATCTACCTATCTAGCTATCTACCTATCTAGCTATCTAGCTATCTAGCTATCTAGCTAGCTATGCTAGCTAGCTATACTAGCTAGCTATGCTAGCTAGCTAGCTATGCTAGCTATCTAGCTATACTATCTAGCTATACTAGCTATCTAGCTATTTAGCTTTACTAGCTACCCTATCTATCTATTTACCTCAATCACATGCACAGCTGGATGTCCTTGATTGAGTAAAGCGGCTCCTTGATTGTGCACATCGTTGAACGGCTTCTCGCGCAATTCGATCTCATGCAGAAGCTGAATTCGATAGTCGATAATCAATATTAGATATTCGATAATCGATATTCGATAATCAATATTAGATAATCGATATTCGATAATCAACATTCGATAATCGATATTCGATATTCGACATTCGATAATCAATATTAGATAATCGATAATCAATATTAGATAATCGATATTCGATATTCGATAATCAACATTCGATAATCAATATTAGATAATCGATATTCGATAATCAACATTCGATAATCAATATTCAATAATCAACATTCGATAATCAAAATTCGATAATCAACAATTCCACAATAAATCTACCTGTTTATAGTAGTTTTGGAGCATATGCGTGTCCAATTGTTTGATGTCCGACCAATTCCTCGTCACTTCGATCTCTTCACGCTCGGAAACCCAGACGAGCTCGAGTTGAGCGGCGCGCACGAAAGCGATCAGAGAGTCCTAAAGCAATCAAACGATCAGAGAGTCCGCCAAGCAATAAAGGCAATTAGCAATTCGTAGCAAATTGCAATTTGATGTCTGACGTCCAATTCCAATCCAGGCTATTTGATGTCTAGAACTATAGCAATCTTCAAAACTCACCAAATCGAGCATCCTCCCGGCAGAGAGATCTCTCAATTGTTGATATTCACTCTCGAGGATTCTCAACAATTCACAATAATCGTGTGAATCTTCAGCTGGCACTTCCGCTTGTCGAGCGATGCATTCATCAACGTTTTGACGGAAATCTTGGATGTCACGGTTGTCAACCTAGAACTCGTGGTTTGAAAACCATGTTGTACTTGGACTACAGTAGATACGGGCTATGATAGCTATGGACTAAGATAGTTATGGACTACGATAGCTATGGACTACAGTAGCTACAGGCTAAGATAGCTATGGACTACGATAGCTATGGACTACAGTAGCTACAGGCTACGATAGCTACGGACTACGATAGCTATGGACTACAGTAGCTACGGGCTAAGATAGCTATGGACTACGATAGCTATGGACTAAGATAGCTACAGGCCAGTCGGAGTGTATGGCTAAGTAGTATGGTACGTAGCTGGAGAAGGTCATAGACGGCGCTATGAAGATAGCTATGGACTACGATAGCTATGGACTACAGTAGCTACAGGCATATACAACAAACAGTCTATGACTAAGATAGCATGACCATAGCAGGTACAGGCACAATAGCTACGGACTAAGATAGCTATGGACTAAGATAGCTATGGACTACGATAGCTATGGACTAAGATAGCTACAGGCTACAATAGCTACGGACTAAGATAGCTATGGACTAGATAGCTATGGACTACGATAGCTATGGACTAAGTTAGGTACAATAGCGGACTAAGAGATGGACTACGATAGCTATGGACTAGAGCTAGGCAATGCCGGCTGTGGCTAAGATAGCTATGGACTACGATAGCTATGGACTAAGGTAGCTACAGGCTACAATAGCTACGGACTAAGATAGCTACGGACTACGATAGCTATGCACTAAGATAGCTACGGGCTAATTCATCCAACCTTGTGCTTCTCGAATTTCTCCTCCAAAATCTCGAGATCCTCGACGAATTCCATGTTGCTCAAGTGCTCCTGAAAAGGTTTAAGGTGACTGTAAAGGGAACTGAAAGATTAAGATATTCAGTGAAAGACTACTTTATTCGATCGCTTTATAAAGGCTTTATAAAGGCTTTATCAAGACTGCATAAAGGCTTTATAAAGGCTTTATAAAGATGTTACAAAGGCTTTATAACGCTTTCACTTACCAATCTCTCCCGCACCCATTGAATGCACTCCTCGACGCGGCTAAACGTCGATTTTCGAATCGATTCGAGCCGTTCTGAGTTCTCGCGGCTAAATTTTGAGTTCTGGATTGGATTTGATCCTGTAACTGGACTTTAAGGGTTACTGGACTTGTACCTAGAAGAGCGGAGGATTTGAAGAGCTTAGAAGAGCCTGGAAGGGCTTAGAAGAGCTTAGAATAGCTTAGAAGAGTTTGGAAGGGCTTAGAAGAGCTTAGAACAGCTTGGAAGAGCTTAGAAGAGCTTAGAACAGCTTAGAACAGCTTACCGAAGCCTACAGACTTACCGAAGTGTCTCGGTTCTTACACCCAATCGTGTCAAGAGGCGATTCGTGAGTCGATCCAAATAAGCCGTTCGGCGTTGATGAAGACCGAACACTTGACGATAGAAATCGGTGGCATCTGGATGGCCTTGAGTCTTCAATTCATCCACGTCCTCAAAGAAACCCTGGAAAGATTTCGATGAATAGATTGAGGCTAGGAAGACTGTCACTCATCAATTCAGTCAATTTACCTGAATTGGACTCTCAAGGGCATTCAAATCGTCGACAATTCCGTTCACTTGACGCTCGATTTCAGCTGGTGGACTGCGATCAACGCGAGCTTCGACGTCCTCGATTCTCTGCAAAATAGTAGTCAAATAAGCAAGATAGTAGTCAAATATCTTGCCAAAGTCAGATCCAGAGCCAGAGCCAGAGCTAAAGCCAGAGCCAGAGCCAGAGCTAAAGCCAGAGCTAAAGCCAGAGCTAAAGCCAGAGCCAGAGCTAAAGCCAGAGCCAGAGCTAAAGCCAGAGCCAGAGCCAGAGCTAAAGCCAGAGCTAAAGCCAGAGCTAAAGCCAGAGCCAGAGCCTAAGCCAGAGCCAGAGCTAAAGCCAGAGCTAAAGCCAGAGCTAAAGCCAGAGCTAAAGCCAGAGCCAGAGCCAGAGCCAAAGCCAAACCAATTCTCCTAGTCCAAGCTAGGCCCTGAAGCCTGGTTTGGTTTCTGGATTTGACTCTGATCATAACTCTGGCCATAAGAGCTGACCAGAAGATCTGGCCAGAAGCTCTGGTCATAACTCTGACCAGAAGAGCTGACCAGAAGATCTTAGCTAATCAAATTTCTCACATGAAGAATCAAATCCAATTTCTCGTTTGTAATCCCAATTCCACGTTGCAAACGAGAAAGCAAATCGTTGGCAGTCGCCTAAAATTTAGAGATACAATGAATAAAGTAACTTTTAAAAAGCCAGGGTTCACTAGTCTTTGTACTTTGTGATAAACGCACCCTCTCTAGCAAAACCATTTGCCAAATAGGGATTGAAATCACAAAGCACACAAAAAAAAACAAAAAAACAAAAAAACAAAAAAGATTAGTAGAGTTTGCTGTAAGTAAAACGAAATTTCAATAAACTTGTAACGAAAATAACTGTCGGCTCTTTTTTCCGAAGCAATTTCAAGTTTTTCTCAGCACCAACTGTTCTTTTTTTGTTTATTTTGATTATCATTTGATAGAGAATGAAATTGCGCGTCGAATGATACCAAAATCGACTCAAAATCTAATCTCCATGCAAAGTTATGAGGCAAAAGGTAAAGTCCCTTCCATAATGGGCAGAGCTTAGGTTTTAGCCAATAACTTTACATGGAAACTATATTTGGAGTTGATTTTGGTATCATTCGACGCGCAATTTCATTCTCTATCAAATGATAGTCAAAACATTTAAAATCGAAGGATTGTTGCAAAGTTATTGGCTAAAAACCTAAGCCTAGTCCTTTGCCGTTGGCACTTTGGGTTTTTTTGTGTTTTTCTCAGCATCAATCCTTTGATTTGAAGTATTTTAATTATCATTCGATGCAGAAGAAAATGGCGCGTCGAATGACACCAAAATCAACTCCAAATATAATCTCCATCCAAAGTTATGAGGCAAAATGGCTAGCCCCGTCGATAACAGGCAGAGCTTAGGTTTTTAGCCAATAACTTTACATGGAGATTAGATTTTGAGTCGATTTTGGTATCATTCGACGCGCAATTTCATTCTCTATCAAATGATAATTAAAGTAGTCAAAATTAAAGGATTGGTGCAAAGTTATTAGCTAAAAACCTAAACCCCGTCTGTTATCGATAGGGCTAGTCATTTTGCCTTATAACTTTGGATGGAAACTATATTTGGAGTTGATTTTGGTGTCATTCGATGCGCAATTTCATTCTCTATCAAATGATAGTCAAAATGGTTCAAATCAAAGGATTGGTGCTGAGAAAAACGTTATATACTAACAGCAAAAAAGAAGCGACAGAACGAAATAAGCAAAAAACGAAATTTTCGTTACAAATCCAATACAAAACCTGACTACTCCGTCTTTCCATCAATAAAGAATATCGTCGATCGATCGAATCAAGTAATTGGTTCCACGCTCGATTCAACGATCCCGGAGAAAGCCTCGACGGAATCGAGTTGAGCGTCGTGCCTGTGAGCACCTCCAATTTCTCATAAATCTCCTCCAAACGTCGTTTGTCGGCGAATTTCGGCGGTAAATCGTCGTCCCGAAATCTCTCCAATTCATAGATCAACTCCTCGTTTGTCGCCGTGAAATGTCTCTCGTCAACAAGCGTTGTCCTCCTCTCCACCCATTCCAACCATTCCGCCGCTTCCACAGAATATTCGTTGTGCAAACGTTCCAACTAAGGAAAGGACGTTTATGGTGAAGTTGTGAAGTTAGTGAGCTTTTAAAGAACAGGACAACATTCATTTACTCTCTTCTACTCTCTTCCACTCTCTTCTACTCTCTTCACTCTCTTCCACTCTCTTCCACTCTCTTCTACTCTCTTCCACTCTCTTCTACTCTCTTCCACTCTCTTCTACTCTCTTCTACTCTCTTCCACTCTCTTCCACTCTCTTCTACTCTCTTCTACTCTCTTCCACTCTCTTCTACTCTCTTCTACTCTCTTCCACTCTCTTCCACTCTCTTCTACTCTCTTCTACTCTCTTCCACTCTCTTCCACTCTCTTCCACTCTCTTCCACTCTCTTCCACTCTCTTCCACTCTCTTCCACTCTCTTCTACTCTCTTCCACTCTCTTCCACTCTCTTCCACTCTCTTCCACTCTCTTCTACTCTCTTCTACTCTCTTCCACTCTCTTCCACTCTCTTCCACTCTCTTCTACTCTCTTCCACTCTCTTCTACTCTCTTCCACTCTCTTCCACTCTCTTCCACTCTCTTCCACTCTCTCCTCCACTCTCTTCCACCTCTTCTCTCTCTCACTCTCTTCCACTCTCTTCCACTCTCTTCCCTCTCTACTCCTCCTCTCCACCTCTTCACTCTCTTCCACTCTCTCACTCTTCTACTCTCTTCCACTCTCTTCCACTCTCTTCCACTCTCTTCCACTCTCTTCCACTCTCTTCTACTCTCTTCCACTCTCTTCCACTCTCTTCCACTCTCTTCCACTCTCTTCCACTCTCTTCTACTCTCTTCCACTCTCTTCTACTCTCTTCCACTCTCTTCCACTCTCTTCCACTCTCTTCCACTCTCTTCCACTCTCTTCACTCTCTTCCACTCTCTTCCACTCTCTTCTACTCTCTTCTTCTACTTTTTGCTTTAAAACTTCAACTTCAACTTCAACTTCAACAAAAAGCTTCACTTTTTTAAAAGGAAATCCTTGAAATGAGATAATCTCAAGCTTCCAGCTTCGAGAAAGCATCGAAAAACCTTCTAGCATCGAAAGCTCTTTACAAAGAAAAAACAACAATCCTCTATTACCAAGAAGTAATGTAAAAGTCGATTTGAGTCAAGTAGACTGTTATTTATGAGTGATAACTGATTTGAATTAGATCCCAGAGTTAGACATGGACAATTTTGACAGTTTGCTTTGATACAGCTTGTCTTGAAACAGTGCTTTGTACAGCTTGCTTTGCTACAGCCTGCTTTAATACAGCCTCCTTTGCTACAGCTTGCTTTGATACAACTGCCTTTGCTACCTTACCTTGCTCATCTCAGGCAAATGTGGCAACTTGTTGTAGAGCTCGGAAACATAAGTGATCAGAGATTTCTCATCCGGATGATCGGTGTCCACGTCTTCGGGATCTGAAGCGAGTTTGATCATTCTTCTATCAGTTTACCAGTCTTTTATCAGTCTGCCAGCCTTCTATAGGTCTTCTAACAGCCTTCTATCAGTCTATCAGCCTTCTAACAGTCTTCCAACAGTTTTCTATCAACTTCTATCAACTTCTATCAGTTTACCAATCTTCCATCAGTTTACCAGCCTTCTATCAGTCTACCAGCCTTCTACACCACCATCAGCCTCTACAGCTCCACCCCCCACCCCCCCACCCGAAGCCTTCTATCAGTCTACCAGCCTTCTATCAGCCACCTATCAGCCTTCTATCAGTCTACCAGCCTGCTATCAGTCCTTCAGCCTTCTACAGCCTTCTATCACTCCATCACTCTATCATTCTATCAATCTTATCATTTGTACACTTTTCAGCAAACTTTAGCTTCTCAAAAGAACTAAAGAAAACTCTAGAATCCTCGTCTACACTCCTTTCCCGTCGTTCACTGACCAATGAGTCTCGTCACTCCCCATTCCCTTTCAGCGACGCGGAACGCATTCTCCAGACGTTCCTTGTTCGACACCGACACGTCACTGATCTGAAATAATGCTTATTTATTAGATATTTACTTAATCTAATAGTATTACTCTTTAAAATTCGTTTACTCTTCAAGTTTCTTTCTTATTTCTTTCTTATTTCTTTCTTATTCTTATTTTCTTCTCAAAAAAAAGCGTTTCCCTTTTCAAATGGAGTTTCGTAGCGTTCGTAGCGTTACTTTACACCCAAAATGAGAAAAGGAAAATAGAAAATGATTCATAATTGAAAAGAAAAGAAAGAAGAAGAGAAATTGACATGTTTGGAATGTTTTTTTGAATGAAAAAGAACCGGTATTGTAAAAGGGATTGTTAAAAGAAGGTGTTAGAACTTGTTAGAACTTGTTAGAAGCTGTCAGAAGATGTCAGAAGCTGTCGGAAGCTGTCAAGCGGTGTCAAAGTTCGAGTTCGACAAGCAGTGCAGAGTGTCGGTGTCGGAGCGTCAAGGTCGAAGCTGTCAAAAGATGTCAGAAGATGTCAGAAGCTGTCGGAAGCTGTCAAAAGATGTCAGAAGATGTCAGAAGCTGTCGGAAGCTGTCAAAAGATGTCAGAAGCTGTCAGAAGCTGTCGGAAGCTGTCGGAAGCTGTCAAAAGATGTCAGAAGCTGTCAGAAGCTGTCAGAAGCTGTCGGAAGCTGTCAAAAGATGTCAGAAGCTGTCAGAAGATGTCAGAAGATGTCAGAAGATGTCAGAAGATGTCAGAAGATGTCAGAAGCTGTCGGAAGCTGTCGGAAGCTGTCGGAAGCTGTCGGAAGCTGTCAAAAGATGTCAGAAGATGTCAGAAGCTGTCAGAACTTGTCAGAAGTTGTTCTAGATCCAGTAATATCAAAAGCTATCGTAATAGATCGATTTCATTCATTTATTTCTAATATAAGCCTAATCGGGAGCCTTTACAAGTGCCTAGTCCTTTACTCTTATCAGAAAAGTACGATTTTCTAAGTTAATTCAGCCTAAAACCAAGTAAATTGTTGGTTTTTGCTTGAATAATGAATAATGTAATGCAATGGATAGCTAGCTATACAATAGCTGGCGCAATATCTACGTGATAATGTGGTTCTATACCAATTTCCCTTTCCCAACCTTGTTCCAATCGATGCTATTTGGTCGATAGCGATGAAGAATCGCGTTAAATGCCAAACCATCTCTCCACGATGAGCCAAAATTCGTCACATTCACTCGCGGATACCCGGCGGTTACCTGAATTTTAGAATTCTCGTTTTCTTGATCGTTATGGCTGATTGGCTAAGAGGCTGATTGGCTAAGAGCTCTGTAGGTCAAGAGGTAGTCAAAAGCCAAGGGCCAAGGGTTAGCTAGATGGGCTGAATCCCGTCAGCTAGATTGCTTCAATCCCGTCAGCTAGATTGCTTCAATCCCGCCAGCTAGATGGGTTCAATCCCGTCAGCTAGTTTGACAGCTAGAGGTTAGATCCCGTCAGCTAGATTAGCCTTGTGGCTAGCTTGAAATAAAGTCTGCATTATTTGTATGACATTTGTGTATTCTTGAGAGCTTGACTTCAATTCCTTCTTCAACTCCTTCCTCAACTCCTTCCTCAACTCCTTCTTCAACTCCTTCCTCAACTCCTTCTTCAATCCCCTGCTTACCTTCCTTGCCCATTGCAAAAGAGCATCTCTAGCTGATGAGCCGCTCTCTGCACCCAAAACTTCGGAAACCTGAAAATTTTTATTTAAAAATGATGCTCTTTTTTTCATTTTTTATTCATTTTTCATGAATTTCCTTAAAGAATTGTTCTTTCAAAAAGGTTTGAATAGATAAAAGATTGAAGAATTGAGGGAGCTCGATGAGATAGACTATAGAAAAGCCAGATTACTGTAGATTAGCATACAGCAAAAAACAGTACAGTTTACTAGATAGAAATTATAGCTTTTGGGTATTTAGAAAAATCCAAGGTTTTACGGGTCGTCAGACTTTAAAGGCTTATAACTTTGTCTAGAGTCAATATTTTGGCTAACCTTTTATATTATTGTAAAGAGGAGCTTTCAGGCTTTCAAATGATACCAAATAGAGCTTGATTGGATAATCCAGTCCAAGAAAATCAGAGCCAACTCTGAGCAATGAGGCGACACAACACCCTAGTCAGATAGGCCTCATTGCTCAGCGTTGGCTCTGATTTTCTTATACTGGCTTATCCAATCAAGCTCTATTTGGTATCATTTGAAAGCCTGAAAGCTCCTCTTTACAATAATATAAAAGGTTAGCCAAAATATTGACTCTAGACAAAGTTATAAGCCTTTAAAGTCTGACGACCCGTTGAAAATCGTTGGATTTTTCTAAATACCCAGAAACAATGCAAAAGCCAAAATAATATCCTATTCTATTTTTATTCTATTCCTATTCTATCCCTATTCTATTCCCTACTCTATTCCCTACTCTATTCCCTACTCTATTCTTTACTCTCTCCCTACTCTCTCCCTATTCTATTCCCCATTCCATCCCTACTCTATTCTTTACTCTCTCCCTATTCTATCCCCTTCCTTAATCAGTTTAGATCTTTCTTTCCACGATAAATGATAAGAAATTTCTTCTCATCTATGCAAATCCTTTTAGAAAAACGGGTTTTAACCAATTTTTTCCAATTTTTTCCCATTTTTCTTCTCCAACAGCTAGTTTTTTTGCTTCAAAAAGTGAAAGAGAGCTTATAATTTCAAATTTCTTTTGATTTTTGACATGATTTGGAATCTTTTTTGAGGAGAAAATGTTGATAATTGAGAAATCGGGTAAATGAACCGAGAGATTGATGAGGAATCAAGCTCTAATTAGACTAGAACTAGGCAAAATGTGTGTAACTATGGGATTTACAGGAGCTGCTTCTATCAGTAGCCTTCAGCTTGGCTACTAGCCTTCAGCTTGGCTACTGGCCTTCAGCTTGGCTACTGGCCTTCAGCTTGGCTACTAGCCTCCAGTTTGACTACAGTAGCCTTCAGCTTGACTACTAGCCCTCAGTCTGACCACTAGCCTTCAGCTTGACTACTAGCCTTCAGCTACAGTAGCCTTCAGCTTGGCTACTAGCCCTCAGTCTGACCACTAGCCTTCAGCTTGACTACTAGCCTTCAGCTTGACTACTAGCCTTCAGCTACAGTAGCCTTCAGCTTGACTACTAGCCTCCAGTTTGACTACTAGCCCTCAGTCTGACTACTAGCCTTCAGCTTGGCTACTAGCCTCCAGTTTGACTACAGTAGCCTTCAGCTTGACTACTAGCCTTCAGCTTGGCTACTAGCCTTCAGCTTGACTACTAGCCTTCAGTTTGACTACTAGCCTTCAGCTACAGTAGCCTTCAGCCTTCAGTAGCCTTCAGTTTCACTTACAGTACTGTCTAAGGCTTAAAAACGTTAGAATTTGATAAGAATTCCCTCTCTTTTCCTCAAAATTTCCTCAAAATTTCCTCAAAATTTCCCCAATTTCATGAGAACACCCTCCAGCTTCCAAAATTTGCCTATAAGCTTTGAGAGTCTTGAGTTTAAGAGAAATCGGGTCGATTCGTGTCCCATTAGGTGGGGGATTATGGAGAAAAGAAAGGGAAAGTACTAGAGAAGTCAATGATCAACAAGGGACAACAAGGAAAGAGTTTGCGATGATACCGAGAAATTGAGAAGAGCAGTTTGATTTTAATTGCGTTTTTTCTTCTATCTGGATGTCACACTAGAATTGTTAGGATTCGGATTTTTGATTTTCTTCAAAAGATTTGTACTCGATGTGCGTCGCCGAGAGCTCGCGATGATTCCGAAAAATTGACAAGGCCGATTTTATTTTAATTGCGTTTTTTCTTCTATCTGGATATCACGCTAGAATTTTTAGGATTCGGATTTTTGATTTTCACCAAAATATGTTGGTATGGATGTGCACCGACCGAGTTTGCGATGATTCCGAAAAAATGAGAAAGCCGATTTTATTCTAATGACGTTTTTTCTTTTATCTGGATATCACACTAGAATTTTTAGGATTCGGATTTTCAATTTTCATTAAAATCTATTTGTGCACTGACCGAATTCGCAATTATTCCGAAAAATTGACAAGGCCGATTTTATTTTAATGATGCTTTTTCTTCTATCTGGATATCACGCTAGAATTATCAGCATTCGGATTTTTGATTTTCACCAAAATATGTTGGTATGGATGTGCACCGACCGAGTTTGCGATGACGGAGGCCGTTTATTTATTGGTTTTTTCTTCTTTGTTCACGCTATTTTTAGGATTCGGATTTTTGATTTTCACCAAAATATGTTGGTATGGATGTGCACCGACCGAGTTTGCGATGATTCCGAAAAATTGACAAGGCTAATTTTATTCTAATGGCGTTTTTTCTTCTATCTGGATATCACACTATAATTTTTAGGATTCAGATTTTCAATTTTCATTAAAATATATTTGCTCGATGTGCTATGTGGCCTTAAACGACAATCCTGATTCCAATTCGGATCCATTGTCTAATCCAATCAAAACAAAATTAGTGTTGTTCTTGTTTAGTCGTTTCTTGCTTAACCTAGATGGATTGGGGAAAGAGAAAGAGAAAGAAAATGAAGGAAAATCGAAGGGTGTGGTTGAGAGAGAGAGTGGGTGAATGGCCTTGTCCTTTCTCCTTTCTCTGTACACTTCCCCTCCCCAAATTACGATCACCACAAACCCCTCGATTTCTTCATTTCTCTCTCTTTTCCATTTGGAGATCGATCATTCCAAATTTCTAGTATCAGTAGAAAGAAAGAAGGAGAGAAGGAGAGAAAGAAGGAGAGAAAGAAGGGAAGGGAGAGAAAGAGAGAAAGAAGGAGAGATCAGCCCAAGATCAGCAGGCTTAGGCTTAGCTCTTAGATCCTCAAATGAAGCCTCAGACTTCTCAGCTCAGTCCAATGTTCAAAGCCATTTTGTTTCTTTTTTCGAGAAAACCCTTTTCTTTAGGTGCTCAATTGATAGATGGGGTGAATGAAGGAAAAGAAATGAAATGCAAAGGGTGTGGTCCCTTCCCATTCAACCTTTTGCAATCTTTTCACCCCTTTTCTCCTTTCTTTACATCTACAGGCCCCTTATTGCATTTCCTTTGCGTATTTGTGTAGGTGAATGTGTATGCCCACACAGCAATCGCACAAGACAAGAACATTTGAATTTGAGCGTAAGACTAGAGGAAGTACAGAGATGGGAAGTACGGGACAGCACAGTACAGAGCACAGTACAGCAGTATGGCAGTACAGCACAGTACAGCAGTAGGGAGCACAGTACAGCACAGTATACCAGTACGGAGCACAGTACAGCACAGTAAAGCACCGTACAGCAGTACGGAGCACAGTACAGCAGTACGGAGCATAGTACAGCAGTACGGAGCATAGTACAGCAGTACGGAGCATAGTACAGCACAGTACAGCACCGTACAGCAGTACGGAGTACAGTACAGCAGTACGGAGCACAGTACAGCAGTACGGAGCACAGTACAGCACAGTACAGCACCGTACAGCAGTACGGAGCACAGTACAGCACAGTACAGAGATGGGAAGTCCAAGTTGTCCAAGTTGAACCTAATTCCACCTTGGTTTCTAGTAAAGCAGAAAGTCAGGCAAAAAAAGATATCGATACAATTTTCCCCTTCCAATTTTCACTTTCGAGAATTGTTCCTCAAGCCGTTTAGTCAACTTCTTCTTCTTCTTCCTCTTCTTCCTCCTCTTCTTCTGCTTCTGCTTCTTCTTCCTCTTCTTCCCCTTCTTCTTCTGCTTCTTCCCCTTCTTCCCCTTCTTCTTCTCCTCTTCTCCTTCTCCTCTTCTCCGCTAAAAGGAAAAACAGGGCATAAACCATTGGGTAAACGTATGTCCCCCTTTTCAATTCCTTTGCTCTATTCCCTATCTTCGATTTTCTCTATTTTCACCTCAGCTCCTCACTGGGCACGCGTCTTAGAATGAGGAGAAAGTTTTTGAAATTTTAGGCAAAAGAAAATGTTAGAGAAAGATTTTCTTTAACATCAAGAAGGTTAAGAGTTTTTCGATTTTAAAGAGATCAAAGGACTTTTAGATAGCTAAATGATGGCTTGAATTCCTGGCTTGACGTCTGGCTTGAATTCTGGCTTTGTTGTTTGTCTCTAACTCTAACTCTAACTCTAACTTTGTCTCTAACTTGTCTCTGATAAAGAATTGTCTCTAATCTAATCTCTAATCTCTAATAAATTGACAAGAAAAAGTAGATAGAAGAGGGGATTAAAAGGCATAAACTCGACAGGCAACTAGACAAAGCCAATGGGGTTACCTAGGTTTTGAAAGAACCCATTCTGGCCCAGCCTGACCCAGCCTGGCCCAGCCTGGTTTACGGGAACAATTTACAGGAACGATTTACTCGTTATAATTTCATTGACGATCTACAAATTACTCATGGTTTGAAGGTTGTAAAAGGAGTGACTAACAAAGTATTGGAAAGGATAGGGAAGGATAGGGAAGGATAGGGAAGGGTAGGGAAGGGTAGGGAAGGGTAGGGAAGGGTAGGGAAGGGGAGTAACCGGCTGACTCAAACTTCAACTCATTTTCCCATTCTTTCCCCTTTTTTCCCCCTTCTTATAACCATTACATAGTTTTTCAGTCTTGTCCCTCAGTCTTGTCTCTGTTTAGTTCAGTCCATCCTCTGCCTACTCTGTCTGCATCCTCTGCCTACTCTGTCTGCAACTCGACATTGCCTCTAGAAGCGATTATTATTGAAAGTGAAGGTTATTGAACAAACGAGAGAACTTTCATAGCTCATAGGATGACTTTGATTTAAGGACTTTGATTTTTAAGTTTTTCTCATTTTTAGATCTTTCAGAATATTGGAATAAAGGTAAATAGCTAAGCTAATAAAGCTATTAATAAAGCTGCTAAGAAAGCTGCTAATAAAGCTACTAATAAAGCTGCTAATGAAGCTGCTAATAAAGCTACTAATAAAGACAAGCTCACAAAGCTCAACAAGTCCTTTCCCTCAACCTAAACCTCTCCTTTTACTTAAACAGGAAAAGAATCGGTGTACAACTTAAAGAAAAGAGGAATGGAATGAATGTGGGCGAGTCTCTCTGTTCACATCGATCGCCCATTTAGAAGGGAAAGGGGTGACTCAGTCATACACCTAAGAATATACATGTCCTCGCCGATTTGCTATGGAGAGATCAACTAGCCGATTGGCTATGGAGAGATCAGCTAGCCGATTGGCTATGATTGGCTATGATCAGCTAGCCAATTCACCAATTAGATCTTCTTGGAGTTTCTTTCAATCTTACTACTTAGAAAGAAATTGGAAGGATCTACTTCCAATTTCTTTGTTAAACTGTGCTGAAGAAGGGGAAAGAAGGGGAAAGAAGGGGAAGAAGGGGAAGAAGGGGATTGCCATCTAGCGAAGCAGGAGCAAGAGCAGGAGCAGGAGCAAGAGCAGGAACAGGAGCAGGAGCAGAAGCAAGAGCAGGAGCAAAGGAGCAAGAGCAGGATGGAAAATTGAAAGTTTATTGTCTTTCTATTCATGTCTTTTCTCCAAATCTTTTCGTCAACTCTTAGATGAAGAGATAACAAAGCTGTCAGAGGAAGAGAAAAGAGACATCTCAATCTAAATGGGGCAAAGAATGACTGAGATGTTCGTATTGTTCTGTTCTCTGTTCTCAGCTCTGTTCTCAGCTCTGTTCTCAGCTCTCTTTACCCTTTCTCCAATTCCACAATCTCAATCCTTCCACAATCCCAAATCATTCCCGGATCTCCAAATATAACAAAAAAAAATGAAAGAGAGATTTAGGACAACCACGAGAAATGATTGGGAAAGGAAATTGGGGGAAGAGAACAGTCAAAACAATGCCTTTTATGAGGGATTGTATAATGGAAAGGCAGATGAAAGGCAGATGAAAGGCAGATTCGAAAAATGAGGGAATTTGGATGATCAAAATAAAAGACTATAGATAAAAGACTATAGTAGAGACACTACTATAGTCTACTATACTATACACTACTATAGTACACTATTCATCTAATACCTACTCTTGAAATGGTACAAATGAACAGATGAAATAGCAATTTTTTTGAATCATTTGCATTTGTATTTGAATTCTTTGCAAAAAAAGGATAACAGGATGGTAAAATTCTGCATCAGATAGCTGAAAACGAATAGTTGAATCGTAGATTTGTATCGGATGGTGATAAAAGTGGATACAAGCTTGAGAATTGAGCTTTAAGGATTGAGGATTGGGCTTTAAAGCTTGAGAATTGGGCTTTAAAGCTTGAGAATTGGGCTTTAAAGCTTGAGGATTGGGCTTTAAAGCTTGAGAATTGGGCTTTAAAGCTTGAGGATTGAGGCTTAGGCAGAAGGAAAGGCTTAGCTAAAGATTTAGGGGCTTGGAAACAGAATTCAAGTGATTTAAAGGTGGGTAATGGTCGAGAATTGGTGGATATTGGTGGATATTGGTAGATCTTTGTAGATATTGGTCGCTAATGGTCGCTAATGGTCAATAATGGTCGCTAATGGTTGATAATGGTGGATAATGGTCAATAATGGTCGCTAATGGTCGCTAATGGTCGCTAATGGTCAATAATGGTCGCTAATGGTCGATAATGGTCAATAATGGTCGCTAATGGTCGCTAATGGTCAATAATGGTCAATAATGGTCAATAATGGTCAATAATGGTCGCTAATGGTCGCTAATGGTCAATAATGGTCAATAATGGTCGCTAATGGTCAATAATGGTCGCTAATGGTCAATAATGGTCAATAATGGTCAATAATGGTCGCTAATGGTCGCTAATGGTCAATAATGGTCGCTAATGGTCAATAATGGTTGATAATGGTCAATAATGGTCGATAATGGTCGATAATGGTCGCTAATGGTCGCTAATGATCAATAATGGTCAATAATGGTCGATAATTTGTAGATATTGGTAGATATTTGAGTTTGATTGAAGAAATTCACAAAAATGACACAATGAAAGAACTTTAAATGCACTTTAAATGCCCTTTAAATGCACTTTAAATGGAATTAAATGGAATTAAATGGCTGCAAAATGAATACGAATCCAACTCGACTGACCTCTCTCCTCTGCGAGCGACTCCTTTCCCTTTCCCCTCGACTTTTCTTCACTTTTTGAACTTTTCTCTCGAAGTGTTCCCTTGTTTCATAGCTTGAACTCTCCGAAAATCCACCCAGCGCTCCGGCCAAATGCTTATTCTCGAATTGAGCGATTTGTCCACCGTTTCCATTATGAAATGATCCATTCGCTTGTCCATTTCGCACTTCAGATGTTGATCGATACGTTCCCCCGTCTTGGGCAACCTCGTGCGTTCGATTCGCTTTTTTCGTGTAGCTTTTGATCACCTGGATTTGATTTTGATTTTATCAAGCGTAGCAGTAGGTGGCAGGCTTTGGAAAAGCTTTAGAACAGCTTTGATAGCTTTGATAGCTTTAAGAAAAGATTTGATAGCTTTAGAACAGTTTTGTCAGCTTTAAGAAAAGATTTGATAGCTTTAAAACAGCTTTGTCAGCTTTAAAAAAGATTTGTCAGCTTTAAGAAAAGCTTTAACAGCTTTAAAACAGCTACCATTCCCCAACTTATCTTAAAAAGCTTAATCTCAAAAAGAAACTTCTTCTCCAGCTATTTTCTGATAAAGAATCGTTCTAGAGCTTCTTAAAAGTTGTCAAATCTTATAAGAGATCGTTCCAAAGCTGTCTAGAGCTGCCTAGAGCTTCAAATCTTGTCAAAAGATCGTTCCAAAGCTGCCTAAAGCTGCCTAGACCTTCAAATCTTGTCAAAAGATCGTTTCAAAGCTGCCTAAAGCTGCCAACAGCTTCAAATCTTGTCAAAAGATCGTTCCAAAGCTGCCTAGAGCTGCCTAGAGCTTCAAATCTTGTCAAAAGATCGTTCCAAAGCTGCCTAAAGCTGCCTAGGCCTTCAAATCTTGTCAAAAGATCGTTCCAAAGCTGCCTAAAGCTGCCAAAAGCTTCAAATCTTGTCAAAAGATCGTTCCAAAGCTGCCTAAAGCTGCCTAAAGCTGCCTAAAGCATCAAATCTTGTCAAAAGATCGTTTCAAAGCTGCCTAAAGCTGCCTAGACCTTCAAATCTTGTCAAAAGATCGTTCCAAAGTTCCCCGAATTCCATTGAACAAACCTTGAACATTCTGCTGATCAAAGAATAGCTGATTAAGGTAAAAAATAGGGTGAGAAACGGGGTGTTGGCTAGACACCGCGCATACCCACTTGGGATAAAGAAAAGGAGAGGAGAAATGGGGGTGGATGGGCAGGGGAATCGAGACACGCCCATTTGAGAGAACCCGCCCATTGAAGGGGAAGAAGAGACCGAGAAATGACCGATTGGGAAATGGGAACGATTCGAGGGAAAGAAGAGGTTGGTGAGGGTGGAGAGCGACCATTCTGCTGAAACAGAAACTGAATTAGGAGCACGATGAGCACAGTGGGTTTCCCAGGGCATTGTAGACTCCAGAATCTCTAGAATGAAGCTGACTTTGACTAGCTCTGCAGCTTTGCAGCTTCTCCGAGTCGAGTACGGTGAATCCAATCAATTCCGATTGATAATTAAGTTGAATTTCTGTTTCCCCAGCCGGTAAAAGCCTCTAAGATTCTGGACAAGTTTTCAAGGCAAGAAAATAGATCAGATCAGATCAGAACAGAGAATTCAAGACAGTAATAAGTCAAGAAGTTCAAGAAATTGTCTAGAATCACTTGGACAAGTTTGAATAGGCAATTGTTTAAATAAGCAGATAAATAGCAGTAAAATAGGGTACTCTAGGGCTCTGTAGAGTTCTGTAGAGTACTGTAGAGTCCTGTAGGGCTTTGTAGAGTCCTGTAGGGCTTTGTAGAGTACTGCAGAGTTCTGTAGAGCTCTGTAGAGTACTGTAGGGCTGTGTAGAGTTCTGTAGAGTACTGTAGAGTACTGCAGGGCTCTGTAGAGTACTGTAGGGCTGTGTAGAGTTCTGTAGAGTACTGTAGAGTACTGCAGGGCTCTGTAGAGTACTGTAGAGTGCTGTAGGGCCCTGTAGAGTACTGTAGGGCCCTGTAGAGTCCCGTAGGGCGTTGTAGAGTCCTGTAGGGCTTTGTAGAGTCCTGCAGGGCTCTGTAGAGTCCTGTAGGGCTTTGTAGAGTACTGCAGGGCTTTGTAGAGTCCTGTAGGGCTTTGTAGAGTACTGCAGGGCTCTGTAGAGTACTGTAGGGCTTTGTAGAGTACTGTAGGGCTGTGTAGAGTACTGTAGAGTACTACAATCCAATAGAATATTAATACAGCAGCTCCGTTACTGTAATAAGCCAAGATTTCACAGTACAATGAAAACTTTTCAAAAATCTGATTGTACTTGACGATATTTCAGCTAAAAACTAAAGCTTCTTGCAAAAATGTAGATATAAACTGTCTTTTCTTTTGTCTTTTCTTTATCTTTTCTTTATCTTTTCCTTGTCTTTTCCTTGTCTTTTCCATTTTGTTAAATCAATATTTGTTTTCTGATAGATATCGAAGGGAAATCTATGTGGATACATGAAGAATCATAAAGAAAAGACAAAAAAGACAAAAGGAGAACAAAAAGAACAAAAAGAACAAAAAAAGTGGTAAACTTTAGTCAGCTGATGCTGAAAAATTGAGAAAATCGAGAATTTTAGAGTTCTTTATGCTTTCTGTGCTCCAGGGTAAACGCTCACCCTCTGGCATAAAGCATTACTCGTTCTGGATGTCACACACTACGATAAGCATCAATTTACAATACCCTAGCAATATTTTTTTGGGTACTCTAACATAGCCTTGGGCTGCTATAGGTGTACTTTGTGTTTTAGGGTAAACGCTCACCCTCTGGCATAAAGCATTACTTGTTCTGGATGTCACACAGTATGATAAGCATCAATTTATGGCCCTAGCAATATTTTTTTGGGTACTCTAACATAGCCTTCGGCTGCCATAGGTATACTTTTTGCTTTAGGGTAAACGCTCACCCTCTGGCATAAAGCATTACTCGTTCTGGATGTCACACAGTATGATAAGCATCAATTTATGGCCCTAGCAATATTTTTTTCGGTACCTTAGCATCTTTTGCCGGGTATTGTGCCATAGCTTTGAGCTGCGATAGGTGTACTTTCTGCTTTAAGGTAAACGCTCGCTTTCTGGCACACCACCTTTTGGTAAGTGCTCGTCGAGGACACTCGTCCGGTTTAATTACCCAAGGAACCGAAAAACGCTCTAGAATCGTCAAAATTGAAGTCAAATCGTCAAAAATGAAGGGAAATCGTCAAAATTGAAGTCAAATTGTCAAAAACTGAAGTCAGCTCGTCAAAGTTCAAAATTGTTGCTAAAAAGCGATCGTGACATCAGCAACGTGACGATCTATTCTAGTCGAAACTCCATTTTAGGGTGCATTTCAGGAAGCCCATGCCTCTCAAAGAAGTTTACTCACTCAAATTTGCTCGCGTTTCAATTTACGCAACTCCTATCCAGCTTATCGATATCTCTAATCTATCTATCGATAAGAAGAGAAAGTTTTCCTTCTTTACAAAGCTATAGTGAGCCAGAAAGCATCCTTTCTAGCTCATTTTGTTTTTCATTTGTTTTTCTCCATTTTCCCAATCCATATTAGCTTTTAGAGTTGAGCTGGAAATCTTTGGAAATACCTTGAAATTCCTGCATTTTGATATCAATATCAAAAGAAAAGAAAGAGAGAGGAAGAGAGAGAGAGAAGGAGAGAGAGGAAGGAAAGGGACGAAAGGAATGAAAGAGAAAGAGAGAGGAAGAAAGAGAGAGAGGAAGAGAGAGAAAGAAAGAGAAAGAAAGAGAAAGAGAAAAGAAAATGATAGAAAAGAAAGAGGAAAATGAAAATCTTAAAGAAATTTGAGAAAAATTAGAGATCACAGAGATTTTCCCAATTTTTCAAGGCCAAAACCACACCCCAAAGCCGTAGTATCACGTTTTTGGAGAAATTGTTTAGCTGGAAATGAAAGGGAATTTGAAAAACTTCTATTAAATCCACACCCAACTTTTGTTTTTGAGTCAGAGATCAAAAATTGAGTCAATTGATACGAGCTTTTCGACTCAATTCCATTGTAAAACCTTGCGCTTTGTGCAGTACTTTGTGGGGTACTTTGTGGGGTACTTTGTGGGGTACTTTGTGGGGTACTTTGTGGGGTACTTTGTGCGGTACTTTGTGCTGTACATTGTGCTTATCTAAACGCAGCCTCTCTAGCGGTGATGGCTATAATTGTTCTATGCTTCCTTGCTTCCTTGCTTCCTTGCTTCCTTACTTCCTTGCTTCCCTGCGTTCCTGTGCGTTCTCTGCACGATATTGTACCTCCTGGAGCACTGCTAACAACCGGAAACGATTTGGATCATTTACACAACACGTACACAATTCTGTACACTGTACAAAGTACAATAGAACTGTCTGCACACTGTACAAAGTACAATAGAACTGTCTGCACACTGTACAAAGTACAATAGAACTGTCTGCACACTGTACTACACTGTACTAAGCACGTAAAGCTTTCTTGATCCTTTTCCCACTGTTAATCGAGTTTCTTTCTCTAATCGATTCACTCGTAAACTCACTATCCCCGTTTTTATCCTTGTAGTGACCCTAATTTTTCGGAAAGCCAAGAAAAACGAAGGAATTTCCGGTGTTCCTTTTTCCGGAGTTAAAATGGGGGAATTTTCTGAAAAAAATCACTTTTACGCAACGAGATTTGCTCTAAATTAAAGGGAATGGCTTGGAGGTGTAGAGAAAAGGAGTAGCCCTTCCCGATGGCATGGGTGTGGCTCTCCCGCAACCCTTGCACTGCAGAACTACCCCTCTATGCTGTTTTTCAAGAAACAATGATTGCTATTGATTAGTGGAATACAAGGGCTATTCCAGAAAGCTTACAGGCTATGCCAGGCTAGGCCAGACTAGGTCAGGCTAGGTCAGGCTAGGACCAGGCTAGGCAGGCTAGGCCAGGCTAGGTCAGGCTAGGTCAGGCTAGGCCAGGCTAGGAAAGGCTAGGTCAGGCTAGGCCAGGCTAGGTCAGGCTAGGCCAGGCTAGGGAAGGCTAGGTCAGGCTAGGACAGGCTAGGAAAGGCTAGGCCAGGCTAGGACAGGCTAGGTCAGGCTAGGCCAGACTAGGAAAGGCTAGGTCAGGCTAGGCCAGGCTAGGACAGCCTAGGAAAGGCTATGCCAGACTAGGCCAGACTAGGCCAGACTAGGTCAGGCTAGGCCAGGCTAGGCCAGGCTAGCTGGGATATCGAGAATCGTCCTTTCTTCGAGAATTCCCCCAAAATAACCCTCAAATCAAGGATTTGATGGAGATTTGATTTGATATATTTAAAAGAGAAAAAAAGACACAAAAATCAAACGCACAGCTTTTCTAAAGATTTATGATTAAAGATAAAAGATAAAATTGAATTGTGAAGTTCAATTGAGCTTTAGAGGGATGAAAACTGTATAAAAAGTTTCTTTTAAAGAACAATTCCCATCATTTTTATGTTAGTTTACATCACTGTTAGTTGTAAAAATGAGAATTTGAAAAAAAACTCGAAATTCTCACTTTTCGATTAAAAGCCTAGGAAAAGAGAACTTAAAATTTGTTAGTTTGTTAGTAAATGAATATCTGCTTGTACAGGTGAAAGTACAGTACAGTGTAGTACTGGAGTACCCTAGTACAAGTCCAGTACAGCGTAGTACTCTAGTACCAAATACAGTACAGTGTAGTACTGTAGTACTCTAGTACAAGTAAAGTACAGTGTATTACTGGAGTACCCTAGTACAAGTACAGTACAGCGTAGTACTCTAGTACCAAGTACAGTACAGTGTAGTACTGTAGTACAAGTACAGTACGTACGGATTGTAGTACTCTAGTACCAAGTACAGTACACTTGTAGTCCTCTAGTACAAGTACAGTACAGTGTAGTACTCTAGTACTCTAGTACCAAGTACAGTACACTTGTAGTACTGTAGTACAAGTACAGTACAGTGTAGTACTCTAGTACCAAGTACAGTACACTTGTAGTACTCTAGTACAAGTACAGTACAGTGTAGTACTCTAGTACTCTAGTACCAAGTACAGTACACTTGTAGTACTGTAGTACAAGTACAGTACAGTGTAGTACAAGTATAGTACAGTATAGTACTGTAGTACTCTGGTACAAGTACAGCATAGTACACTTGTAGTACTGTACTTGAGCTCTGTACAATTCTTGGTGAAGTTTCTTTGCGTATACTTTAGGCTCTTGCAAATGAAACCGTTCTGCTTTACTGAATCCTCGTTCACTGATGGATTCAATGCACCAGAAAGTTCGCCTTTGCACAAGCCAAGCACACTGCAAAGAGCAATTGGATGGGGTGGCATGGGAAAAACCTGTGTGGGGAAATTCCCGCTCGAATCCTGGGTCCATCTGATTTGGGAAACCTGGAAGTTGAGAATGATCGTCCAGATGAGACCGAGAGTCAATTTCGCGTTTCCCTCGACAATGTCCTCGGCTCGGATATTCACGACTTTCACCTGGAATTTGATGAACTCTAATCAATTTTCAGATCAATTTCTAATGTTTTCCACTTTCTCGAGTACTGTACACTTGGCTCTACCAATCTGACTGCATCGACAGCCTCTACCAATCTGACTGCATCGACAGCCTCTACCAATCTGACTGCATCGACAGCCTCTACCAATCTAACTGCCTATCCCGCAAAGCTTTTTCAACTTAGCATGGAAAAAGCATGGACTACAGTGTGTTTCAAATTCTTAAACGCTGATTGAAGATCGCCAAGGCTTGGACCAGGGTTGGCTTAACCATTGACAGCTCTATTGACAGCTTGATCGACATCTCTATCGACATCTCTATCGACATCTCTATCAACACTCTATCGACAACTATTGAACAAGCAAACCTCTTGCTTTTGCAAATTCTAGTTTTGTTAATCCAATGATCCGGTGACAATCCGATGCTAGAGATGCTAGAGATACTTATCGACAAGATTACAAGATTACAATGATTACAATGCTACAATGCTCAGTGCGCTACTAGATTACTGCAGTTGTCTAGGCTACAATCTGCAGTTGTCAGTCTAGATTAGAGTATTCAATCTAGGCTGTCTGGATTACGGTATTCAATCTAGAATAGGATATTCAGTCTAGAATAGCTAGATTACGGTATTTAGTTTAGATTAGGGTATTCAGTCTGGATTAGAGTATTCAGCTACAATCTGCAGTTCTGTAGGCTACAATCAAATCTCTCCAAATCGATTCGCTTTCCCCAATGATTTTTGATGACTTTTCCCTCAACCTGATTATCAATTTAAACGAAAAAGAGGAAAATTTTCGAGCTTTTCTCGAAAAGCATCTTCGAAAACAAAGGAAATCACCGATTTTTCACCAAAATCACCAAAATTTTTCTCTTTTTACCGCATTAGTTCAACTTAAATTGGAAAAAGTTTCGAGAAACTGTCGATTTTTGAAATTTTTCGTGTAAGATAAGGGATTTAACTACTTATAATCTTTAAAAACTCGAAAAATCACTTACATTTTTGTTCCTGAGAAAATCCAGACAATATTGCACATTTTGTATTCGGTGGAAACGGGTGTAGCCGTTTTCGCGAGGCTAAAATTATATAGATTATATAGATTATATAGATTATCTAGATTATCTAGACTATATAGATTATCTAGATTATATAAATTGCATAAATTTCTCATGATTCCCATGATTCCCATGATTTACGCTGGTTTCTGATTCTCATGATTCAACCAGCGTCGATCATGAGAATCAATTGCTCTAGAAGTGCTCAATTGCTCTAGAATTGCTCTAGAAATGTCAATTGCTCTAGAGTTGCTCTAGAAATGTCAATTGCTCTAGAATTGCTCAGAATTGCTCTAGAAATGCTCAATTGCTCTAGAGTTGCTCTAGAATTGCTCTAGAAATGCTCTATTGCTCTAGAATTGCTCTAGAAATGCTCTATTGCTCTAGAATTGCTCTAGAATTGCTCTAGAAATGCTCTATTGCTCTAGAATTGCTCTAGAATTGCTCTAGAATTGCTCTATTGCTCTAGAATTGCTCTAGAATTGCTCAATTGCTCAACAATTCAACTTAGTTTCTCGAAATTCACAATAAACTCACTAGTCTTTCTCCAGATAAAGCTTCAAGAAGAGTTAATAAATGAAAGCCATCCCTCAGATCTTCGAATAAATTCTCGACTCTCGAATTTGCCTAAAGAATTATGATAAAGCATTTCTTCTGGAAAATCTCACCTTTGAAAGATGTTTGTTGACCCATTTCGTGAATGTTTTCTTTTGAATTCGATCTCGTTCGTCTAAAATTTAGATTTGCATGTAGGATTTTGTGGAAAATGGTTTCTATGTTTTCTAAATGACTCTTTTGATGGACTTTGATGGACTTTGATGAATTTTGATGAATTTTGATGGACTTTGATGGACACTGACCAACTCTAATCAGCTTTCATCAACTCAAGTTGACTCAAGTTGACTCTAATCAACTTTAATCAACTGTCATCAACTTTAATCGACTCTAAACAACTATAATCAACCAAATTTAGAGAGGCAAGGAACCAAATTTAGGGATATGTAACCAAATTTGTTGAGATAGGGAACGAAATTTAGAGAGATAAGGAACCAAATTTGTAAGGATAATGAACCAAATTTAGAGAACCATAATCATAACTATAATCAACTGTCATCAACTTTAATCGACTCTAATCAACTCTAATCGACTCTAAACAACTTTAATCAACTGTCATCAACTTTAATCGACTCTAAACAACTTTAATCAACTGTCATCAACTTTAATCGACTCTAATCAACTCTAATCGACTCTAAACAACTTTAATCAACTGTCATCAACTTTAATCGACTCTAAATAACTCTAAACAACTTTAATCAACTGTTATCAACTTTAAACCACTTTAATCGACTCTAAAAAAGTTTAATCAACCCTAATCAACTTTGAACAACTCTAATCAACTGTCATCAACTCCAATCAACTGTCATCAACTGTCATCAACTCCAATCAACTGTCATCAACTGTCATCAACTCCAATCAACTGTCATCAACTTTAATCGACTCTAAACAACTTTAATCAACTCTAAACAACTCTAGTCAACTTTAACCAACTCTAATCCTTATCTTTTTTTCTTTCTAACAAATTCTTTTAATTCCTTTTCTCTACCAACTCTTCTCTAACGATCAAATCAATGAATGAATCAACTTTCTTTCTTTCTTTCTTTCTTTCTTTCTTTCTTTTTCTTTCTTTATTTGTATTTAGATGTGTGTCTTTGTATGTTTTGTGTACTCTTTTGTGAAAAAGAAATCAGGAAAAAAGGGGAAAAGATGTACAAAATTGCGGACAAATACTCAACTTAGCTAGGCAAGATTAAAAGATTAAAGCTTTAAAAAGAATTCGATCTTATTTATGATTGTTTTCTTTTCAAATAAGCTAACATTAAGCTTAACTAAAAGAGTTAACTTAACTTAACTAAAAATAGATACCGTCTTCTCTCTAATAGTAGTGCATCCGGCCGAGCCGAGTTGATGACTATTTGACGGTTTCTAAGCTTTTGCAGAAGCTCAATCATCTAATCATCCACTAGATCTCATTGTCAGCTACATTTTCCGATCCCACATCGATAGGTTCTGATAAGCGCTTTTCGAGATTTCAAGCAATTTAGGCGACGCTCTGGGTGCACTACTATTCGAGAAAATACGGTATTTTACACTTTTATTAGTGCAGAGATTTTTAGAGCACAGAAAATTGAAACGACAAACGACAAACTACAAACGTAAACTTTTAAACCTTCTAAATTGCTTTAAATCTATTGGATTATGATGATCTATCGCTCAAAAGATAGAGAATATCAAGAGCTTTTGAATGAACTAAAGCTTACTTAAAGATATTAATGCTAAAGAAAGTTACAGTGGTAAAGAAAGTCACAAAAACTTTTTAAAAATTACCTTAATCAAGTTATTTTACACTTTTAGTCGTGCAGGGATTCGAGGAGAAACGTGAGCAAAGATATTGGACACTACAAACTACAAGATCAAACTGTTACACTACAAACTACAAGATCAAACTGTTACACTATAAACCACAAAATCGAACTGTTGCACTACAAACTACAAAAAACGAACCGTTACACTACAAACTACAAACGTAAACTTTAAAACCTTCTAAATTGCTTTAAATCTGTTGGATTATGATGATCTATCGCTCAAAAGATAGACAATTTCAAGAGCTTTTGATACACAGCATACTCAAAGCAGATTTAGCAGATAAAGCACATTCAAAAAGTTTCTCTAGTTTATAGTGTTCATGTTTAGAGTAAATTCGATCTACGAACAGACTGAAACGATCAGAAACGATCAAAAACGATCAGAAACGATCAGAAATGATCAGAAACGATCAGAAATGATCAGAAAGATCCGAAAGATCAGAAAGATCAAAAAGATCCGAAAGATCAAAACGATCAGAAACGATCAGAAACGATCAGAAACGATCAAAACGATCAGAAAGATCAAAACGATTCGGCTGAGGAAACAATTGCTGAATGTTCGAAGAACGATTGTTAAAGTGAAGAAAATGAAGAGCCAATCGACTCTTCACGAAAGCCCTATTGAAAAGAGTGAAAATTCGAAGCTTTCAAATACGTCAAGAATTTTTCTATTCATTTCTATGCAGAAGTATCTATTCTATTCATCTTCTATTACTTTTTCTTTTCTATTTTTCTTTATTTCTTGATTTCTATTGATTTCTATTGATTTCTATTGATTTCTATTGATTTCTATTGATCGTGCAATACTTTGACGATGGATTTGAAAGCTTTATACAGCAAGAACAAGCTTTTGCATATGGCCAAGCTGCTGGCCAGAGATGAGCACATGGCCTAGTGGATAAACGGCTAGTCTATGAAACGGCTGTCCTATTTTTCCTCTCGAGTTCAATGCCGGCCATATGCTATTTGTTTCGGGTGTTTCCATGGCTATTAGCAGTTCATTTTTGTAGGGTTTTAAACGTTATTTTCAATTCTATGTTATGCACTGTGTTTCTAGTCAATTCCAAACTTTGGCCTTAGATCATGTTAATCAAGTGTCGCCTTGAGAGCTGGAAAACAAAGAAAACAAAGAAAACAAAGAAAACAAACAAAGTATCAGGAATCTATCACAAAAATCGATTCGATTTACATTGAAAAGTCTTTCATTGCTTTTTTGTATTGCTCTAGATAAATAACAGCCGAATTTTACAACGATTTCTATTACTGATGAGAGTTTAACTGCGATGAACCTGATGGTTTTTGTTATTGACAGATTGTGATGGATCTGAAGTTATTGGCATTATCTTAGAAGTTATTGGCATTATCTTAGAAGCTATTGGCATTATCTTAGAAGCTATTGGCGTGAACTGAAGTTATTGGCATTATCTTAGAAAGGATAAAATCCGATATTTTTATTTATATAAGACGATAAGTCGATATTTAAGATTCAAGAATGGTGGCATCGTTTGAGCGGGAACAGAACAAGAATGAGATCAACATGATGTGTGAAGTTATGCTTAGGGTTTATTTCAAAGAAGATCAATGAATCAGTTTATCTTGTCTATAATGCTTTGTGCGCCGATTCCATCAATATTCATTACTGATCATTTAAGCGAGAACAGAACAAGAACGAGACCAACATGATGTGTGAAGTTATGCTTTGTTTCAAAGAAGATTATCTTGTAATCTTGATTATCTTGTCTATAATGATTTGAGCGCCGATTTCACCAACATTGCTTATTGATCATTTAAGCGAGAACAGAACAAGAACGAGATCAACATGATGTGTGAAGTTATGCTTTGTTTCAAAGAAGATCTTGATTATCTTGTCTTGCAACTTGGGTCTTTGCCTTTTTGGCACCGGAATCAGAATCGGAGTTTTAAGCGTTGAATGTGGTTCAAATGAGGCGTTCAAGCGTTTAAATGAGGCTCATGTTTTGAGTCTAAAATCATAATCATTCTTGAAGAGTCATAATCATGAAGACTGTTCATAATCATGAAGAGATATCAATATACTATTTTAAATCCCATTTTTGATCTCTAAGCTCTTGTTTTTCAAGAAGAAACAAACTCTAAACAAACTAAACTCTGATTTGAAAAAGGAGCCGAGAAAATTGGGGATTTATAGGAATTCTCTTGCTCTTTATTTCTTCATCGTTTCCTTTTTCTCTCTTTTTATTTCTTTTTACTCGCCATGAAGAAAAGAAAAATATGCATAAAGAGAAGATTTGACCTCGAATAGAAAAAAGAATCGAAAAAGAATAGAAAAGAGAAAAGAGAAAAGATTGCGATGAGAGAATCCGTAAATCCCTTGCAATAATCAGAAATTGGGTGCGGAAAGGAAAAGAGTGAGTGAGCAGTGATTATCGACTCTCAAAATCTATCAAGAACTTTGTGATTTGGTCAAAATGCGTAACATTGACAGCTGGAGTTCTTGCATTGACAGCGTTGACAGTTCTTTCAAAAATTACATCAAACTGAAAGACTTAAGTGTAGGATTTAGAGAAAATGAGTCAAAATGAGTATTGATTTTTTGCTTTTGAACATTCGTATTGAATTCCTATTGAATATGAATATTCGTCCCGATTCTTTCAAGAATGACTCCAATTCAAAGCCCAATTATCATCCAAAACTCTCACTAAAGCGTTAAAGCTGTCAACGTTGTCTTAACATTCGCAAAAACAGATTTAAAGAGATAAGGAACCAAATTTAGAGAGATAAGGAACCAAATTCGGATAGATCAGGAACCAAATCTAGAGAGATAAAACGGTAAAACTCACGTGGCTTCGAATCAAAAAACTGAGTGAGTGACAAGCGCACCATCGGACTATCATCTGTTCAGGACTATCAAACCCCTGTCTCTGTCTGGTTTAGAATACAGACCCTAGGACGAGGGACCAGAGTTGCAAAAGCGGCTTAGATCAGGTTTTTGAGAGATAAGGAACCAAATTTAGAGAGATAAGGAACCAAATTTGTAGAGATAAGGAACCAAATTTGTAGAGATGAGAAAACAGGTTAACACTTGGGAAAGAATCGAAGGAAATTGGGGTTGGTTAAGAGCTTCTATTCTTACCCCCAAAATTGGGTAAGAATTGAAGAAGCGATGAACTAGAAGAGTCAAATTTTGAGCAGATTTTGAGCAGATTTCAACAAATTTCAACAGATTTCAACGACACCAATATAGAGATCTAGGGAAAACTTTTACAAATATTAAGTGAACCTTTAAATCGTCCAAGTTGATGCTCGTATTGTTCCAAGCATTCCACTTCGACAGCCGATTCGACAGTCATTTCAATGGGCTCCGAATTTGGCGATGTTGACGCGGGTTCAGTGGGGGGCATTTCCACAAAAATTTTTCGATATTCACTTAAAGAAATGAATAAGCCAACAAAATAAGCCAACAAATAAGAGCTTCAGCCAATAATCTCTGCATAAAGATATTCAGCTGAGTCGGCTAGATTCAGCTGATCACTGTAGCTATTCAGGCCTCAAATTAAAGCCTATACTATAGCTGTAGCTCGATAAAGTGAAGTATATTCAGTTAATAAACTAATAGTGAAGATATTCAGTTAATAAACTAATAGTGAAGATATTCAGTCAAAAAATTTTGAAGCCAAAATATAGCCAAAATATTCAGCTAATCGACTTTAGCTGCTCAGCTTACTGTAGAATAGATTAAATGAAAATTTTGAGAAGTCTACAGCAAAATATAGATCAGAACGAAATTTTTGGGGAATGTTTGTCGATTTCTATCGGAGAAATGAGAAAATGAAGAGAAATTAGAGAAAAAAAAGGGGAAATTGACTGCAATACAGGATTTGTGGGGGGAAAAGAAAAGAAAAGACAATCAACTGAAGACAAAGTTTAGTTCTAGAAATTTAACACTAGAATTCTAGAACATTCTAGAACCGTTCTAACAATTCTAGAACAATTCTAGAACCGTTCTAACAATTCTAGAACAATTCTAGAACTATTCGAACAATTCTAGAACATTCTAGAACTGTTCTAACAATTCTAGAACATTCTAGAACTGTTCTAACAATTCTAGAACATTCTAGAACATTCTAGAACTGTTCTAACAATTCTAGAACATTCTAGAACCGTTCTAACAATTCTAGGACAATTCTAGAACTATTCTAACAATTCTAGAACATTCTAGAAAATTCTAGAACCGTTCGAACAATCCTAGCATAGATTTCACTTTGAATTAGTCATTCTATATCCTGTTCTAGCTATAGTACCCTTAAAACTACAGTTTTGTATTCAAATTTTGAGAAATCACTGAGAAATCAATGAGGAATGACAATGCACTTTGTGCTCACTCGTAAACGCAATCTGTCTAGCGCATTAGAATCAATTCAATATGCCAGAAAAGGTGTGTTTACGAGTGAGCACACTATTCATAACAAAAGAACTGGTTACAGCTTTAGTTAATGAAAGCTAAAGATTTTCAAGCCATTCTCAGAGATCTAATAACTTAATGATCGAGATATCGAGAAATATCGAGAAACTAAATCGGCAGCTTTAGAGCTTTAGAGCTCTACAGCTGGAGCTAGAGCTAGAGCTAGAGCTAGAGCTAGAGCTAGAACTAGTGCTAGAGCAATAGCTTTAGAGTCTTAGAGCTTTTTTTGCAAAAAGAGCAGAGCTGTTTTTTGCTCTAAGCGCAAATTTCGATCCAATTTACGATTGGGGATTGATTGGTGATCGAAAGGATTAAGATACTCAACTGAAAGACAAGCTGTAGCTTCAAAAATTTGAAAAATGGAAAAGTTCTCTAATTTTTCTCCAAAGTGATCGGAAAAAATGAAAAAAATGAAGAAAATTGGGGAGAAAATGGGGAAAGTGTTGGCCCGAAAGATTAGGCTTCTCTTAGGGTAAAGGGGAATGGAAAGGGTGAGTAGGAGGAGAAGAAGAAGGAGAAGAAGAAGGAGAAGAAGAAGGAGAAGAAGAAGGAGAAGAAGAAGAAGAGGAAGAAGAAGGGGTGATGCATGAGCTGAAAGAAGGAGCTCCCTTGACACCACTCCTGACAGGGGCACTGTCTACAATGTGTTCTATGTAAATTCTGCAGGTGTATAGTTTAAGATCTGACAACATCTACAAGCTTACAAGAGTCTACAGTAGCTACAGTGGCTACAGTAGCTATAGTGGCTTTAGACTGGTCTATTTAGTCTAATGTTACGTCCGAATCCGAACTAAACTTTGCTTGCTTGTATCTCCAAAACTAGTGAACCGATTTTGATGATTTTTGCGTCATTTTGTAGAGCAAGACTTATAGATTCTATAGAAATTAAAAGTGAAAGAACTAATTTAGTAGAAATATGAAATTAGTTCGGACGAGTTCGGCGTCACATATACATGTATAAAATGTATAAAAGAGCAATGTCTGTCTGTTTGTACAGACATTTCCTTGACCGTGTTTTGACCAACGAAGCTAAAACTTCTTTAGAAAACCTTAGAATATATTGTAGTTGTGCCATTTAAGATAAAAATTCAAAATTCAAAACTTAATGGCACTACGGAGGGTCGAACCCGGATCCTATGGGTTGTAGACAAGCCTGCTCCCCACTGCGCCACAACGACTACCCGTAGTCCTCCAAAAAAAAGCGTTTTTTAGTTTTTCAACTGGTATAAATCTATAAGGGAAGATTTAACTCCTTCTGGAGTAAGGAGATCAAGTGCGTTGTGGTGTAATGGTTAGCACAGTTGGCCGGTAAGCGAAAGGTCGCGGGTTCAAGCACCCGTCGGTGCACAAGTTTTTGATCTGTCGTATTTTCAACTAGAGTACAAGAGCTACAAAAATGCCCTCTTAGCAGCACTCCCAAAGAGTGTCCAGTCTATCTACAGGCTTTTTTAGCATCTTATAAGCTATTTAAAACCACTTTGATCATTCTTGGCTTCTTGTTATGAAGCCAGATCTTAACGCTTGATCCAATACAAGATTTACAGCACAAACCACAGCTGGCAGCTGGCAGCAGCTGGCAAAAAGTCGGCTTTGAAAACAAACCATCTCGAATATTGTGCCTCGTCGAAGTTTTGACAAAAACTCTCCGAGCACTCTGGAGATGTTGAGTGGAACGAGATGGAGATTGATTTGGACTGAAATCAAGGAAAACAATGCACTAGAAAGGGTGTTTTAAAGAGCCCAAAGTACATTCAAAGTACAAGCTACCCTTGAATCGTTTGCTCTCTTCGAATCACTCGAAATTTTTCGGCTGTCGGTCCTCGGATCTCGATTTCTCTTCGCGATTCTTTTGTTTGGAATTGGATATTTGGATCCATAGTTAAATGTAAATTTAAAGCCAAATTGGAAGCCAAATTGGAAGTCAAATTGGAAGTCAAATTGGAAGTCAAATTTACAGCCAAACTTGAAGCCAAATTTACAGCCAAATTTACAGCGAAACTTGAAGCGAAACTTGAACCCAAATTTAAATCCAAATTTAAATCCAAACTTGAAACCAAATTTGAATCCAAAATAGAATATAGAATTGAAAGATTCACGAGAAAAGGAGTGGCTTCGGTTACTCACTTTCTCTTTCACTTTTTTTCGGTGTGTCAATGGGGTGGATTCATTTTTTCGCGTACAAATATGGCCATAAAAAGGCGAATATTCAGTAGAGAAGAGCCTGATTGACAAATAAAAGGAAAAAAGAAAGGAAAAGGAAAAAGACGTGACGAGAATCATCCACTTTTTGAATGGAAAACTACTTCGGAGAATGGTATGGGTGAGATTGAGCAAAATATGATTGATTTTGAAGTGAGTAAGAAGAAAAATTGGTAAATTCTAGAAAACGAGTAGAATAAACAAGTGTTTACATAAGAAAGCTTGTGTACGACTTGTAGGCAATGTCAACTGGTAGTTTTGGCCAAATGACATGTACCATTCAACGCAGATTTTCACGCTGATTCCGAATCTGCTTTTCGTTTTTGCTATCAAGCATCCTATCAAAAGTTATAAGCGTTTAAAGTTTTGTATAGGATTTATCAAGTTTAAAGCAGATACAAAAGCAAATACAAAGCAAATACCAAGCAAATACAAAGCCCTTTTAGAATCGCCACAAAGTCAGTGTACCGAGATGCGATCATCGACCTATACAGGCGTGGCGTTCCGGCGATGGATATCTCTAAGCGATTTACGATACGCAAACAACTTGTTTACAACGTGATAAAACGCTTTCAAGAGTTAGGAAGAAATTCTGACGTGGTGATAAAGCTACCGTTGACGTGGTAGATGTGGTAGATGTGGTAGATGTGGTAGATGTGGTAGATGTGGTAGATGTGGTAGATGTGGTAGATGTGGTGGTAGGTGATAAAGCAATCGTTGTCAACAAGGCTAATACCAAGAAGGTTCGACACAAGAAGGTACACTTGAAAGCCACTCGTTCGCTGGCAAAGATGACCAGGATGGCAAAGAATATAGGAATTTCTCGAACTTCTATGGGCTTTTCAAAAAACGTCTTAGAATGAAAGCTTAGAGGTTTTCCAAAAGCCTAAGCCTAAGCCTAAGCTTAAGCCAAAAGCCTTTCTTATGTCAGCTAGCAAAAAGAAACGCGAGGATCATTCAAACCAACTTTTGCTTGACTTCAATGGTATCATTGTACAAGTGTTCAGATAAGAAAAATGCTTTTGCACGATTTGTACTATGTACAATCGGCGTTGTCTACCAATACGGAACCCAATACAGTACTAAAAACGCTATGAAATATCCAGGGCTAGGCATTTTTCGATCAAGCTCGATCACAAGCAGTCAAAATCAAGTCAAGGCAGTCAGGCCCTGAGTTTTAGACTCGGTTGTCAGCAAAGTCAAGACCAAGTCTGACAAGACCAAAAGCCAGGCTAGATCTAAGCCTAAGCCTAAGCTTAAGCCTGAGATGGTTTCTGGACAAACCGTAAGCAAATCACTACGCCAGAAATGGTTGTAAGCAGTAAGTGTGTTTGTAAGCAAAAAGTACGCATAGAGAACACTCTCAAAACTTACTGTCATGCGAGGATTTCAATCCGGCTCTCCAATTCACTCGTCCCATTTTTTCACTTCTTGAGTACAAGAAGTGAAATTTTTTGCATAGAAATAGTTAGTTAAAGCGAAATTTACATAAGAATTACATAGAATTGACAAAATCCATGAGATTTTCTCAGGTTTTTCCCAATCTTCACCCTTCTATTGACCTCTCTTTTGCGTGAAACATTTCTTTTCTTTTCTTTTTTTCTTTTCTGTACAAACACTTGAGGATTCACATCACTCAAACGTCTTTTAAAAGCTGGAAAAAGCAAGTTTTAAGGAAAAGGACTTGGCTTTTAATTGCCAAAGCTACGGTGGATTTAGACACGGTTTAGGAAATGGATTTTTGTGAGCCTCAGTTGAGTTGAATTTTAATTTTAAGTATTCTAACGACTGCAATAGCTAGCGTGACATCCAGGATTGAGACTTACGACTTTTATTTAGTTAAATTATTGATGGTTTTAAAGATTCGAGCTAGTACAGTAACCACTGTGGCCTAGTTGAGTAGAATTTAGTTTTAAAGATTCTAATGATTGCGATAGCTAGCGTGACACCCAGGATTGAGATTTGGAAATCTTATTTTCAAAAGTGATCGACGATTTTCAAGAAATTTGATAGAACAGATCAGCTACAGTACCCCATCGTAGCTAAATTTTGCTTTTCGCTCCCAAAATTTTCCCCAACTCCGCTGTGCGCTCCAGAATCGCCATTCTCGGATGTAAAAATGGAAACAAATGCCATTTGAGGTAAGCGTAAAGGAGTGACGGCGTTTTTAATGTGCGCAAAACAACGAAACAACAAATTTTATATAAAGCCATTTAAGCAACTTGAATACTGTCTAGTACTTAAGGTACTGTAGCTTTTGTACTGTAGCTTTACTTAAGGTAAATCTCAAATCTCAACTCACATCTCTCTGTCCTCCGTAGTACCAAATAGCACATCGATAAGCGCAAAAAAAAAATACAGAAATGACTTCAAGAAATTGCCAAATTCTCTCGTTTTCTCGTCATTTTTGTCACTCAAACACTTTTCTTCTCATTGTTTTTGGACTAGTTCTTTGAATGAATGGGAATTTGAATGAATGAGAAAATTCTTTGTGATAAAAAGAAAAAAAAAGTCGTTTGTTTCTCGTAATCGTTTTGTAGTTAAAAGAATAAAATATAGTTAATACAATAAAATCGAATCGAATCGTATCAGAAATCGTTTCGAATCGAGAGAATGGAATCGAAAATGGGAAAAGGACAATGTTTGGACAAGAGGTTTCTTTGTGTTTTTGTGTTTTTTTGTGCTTTTTTGCTGACAAAAGGACCAACGCTTTTTTTTTTTGAGGGAACTGACAACCCAACCACTTGTCAAAAGAACTGACAAAAAGTGGTTGGGTAAATGAACCGGGTGAGAGTCGAGTTGGTGGTTGAAACTTGAATTTTACTATGATTACAATATACAATAGTATACTAAGAAAACCAAAGGATCACTGCACCATCAGAGCTATTCTAACCAGAGCTGAATCTACAGGGTGCGACATAATTGTCGCAACAAGGTGTCGCAAAGTCAATTCCGATAACTACTGGTTCGCATTCGGTTCCTATTTTCAGGGATGAGCTGCCCTGGCCTCTTGCCCTGGCCTCGTAAACATCTCGGAAATCGCATTTGAACTTATCAGCAAGATACAAAGCTACGGGAACAATTGCTGATGCACCAAGAAGCGGTAGACGCGCCCAACTGTCGATAGACGCCCAACTGTCGGTAGACGCGCTAGACGCTCACAAAGACAAACCTCAAGCGAGTGAGGGACCGAATTCGGAAGTGGTCAGTCGGCAAGGCAAATGACAAAGAGGATGACGACTTCAAGCTTCATTGCGTCGGATTCTCGAAAATAAGCTCAAACTTACTGCTTACAAGAAAAACAAGGCTCAAGCTAAAAGGCTCAAGGAAGATAAGGAAACAAGGCTCAAGCTCAAGCTAGCTGCCGCTAAAAGCAAGCGAAAATTGCAGATCAGTTATTGATGTGCTTCAATGAAATCGACCAACACAATATCTTGTTCACAAATGAAAAGATATTCACCGTTGAGGGTCTTCTTAGCAAGTAAAAAATGATCGAGTATGGGCCAAATCTCAATCTCCAAGTGCACATCCAGCATCTGTGATGATTTTTGGTGGCATCACTGCAACAGGAAAGACTGCTCTCATGCAGCTCCTTGGGGAAATATTTGTCATTTGTCTATTTGTCAATTCCGATAATCACCTGGCTCTTCTCAAGAATAAACTCTTGCTCTGGGCTGGTAAACATTTTGAAAATCGCATTTGGACTTATCAGCAAGATGGCGCACTTGCCCAAAAATCCAAGAAAGTCCAAGAGTTTCAGCCAAAACAACTTCCCAGACTTCATTTCTTTTCTGAGTGACCACCTAGCTCTCCAACCTTAACCCAATGAATTTTTCAGTGACAAATCGACAAAGCTTGTTCAAAGCCCCACAAAAACATCGAAAGCTTGAAAAAAATCACTGTTAAAAGCGTGAGAAGTGCTCGATCTAGTCTATTTAGAAAAGGAAAAGGTTTGCCAGGTATTGAGCCAGTTCAGAGATGGTTCAGAGATGGTTTCAAGATTAAAAAAAGATAACGAACTCTAATGCTAGATCACTCACCGATAAGTTGTCCCACTCGTTGCTCCCAGGCCGGTTTCAAGCGAGTCGAGCGTCTCAGCCAACTGAAAAATTGTCAAGTTGGAAAAGAGCTCATTTTATCACTGTTAGTATATTGTAGCTAAGCATAAGTCCTTACAGAAATTTCAAAACAGTTATTTTACCTGTTTAAAACAATCAAAACAGTTATTTTACTTGTTTAAAACAATCAAAACAGCTATTTTACTTGTTTAAAACAATCAAAACAGTTATTTTACTTGTTTAAAACAATCAAAACAGTTATTTTACTTGTTTAAAACAATCAAAACAGTTATTTTACTTGTTTAAAACAATCAAAACAATCATTTTACTTGTTTAAAACAATCAAAACAGTTATTTTACTTGTTTAAAACAATCAAAACAGTTATTTTACTTGTTTAAAACAATCAAAACAGTTATTTTACTTGTTTAAAACAATCAAAACAGCTATTTTACTTGTTTAAAACAATCAAAACAACAAAAGAAAAAAGTTTACTTGTTCGTTAGTGTGACTTGTGTGTCTCCTTGCAGTACAACGGTGTGTTCATGAGTGGGAGATCGCCTGGATAGTTCACCGTCGACTTTATAGAATCTAGATAAATGATTTTAGTCTAGATAAAGCTTTAAAGATTAGCTTTATGTCTTAGTCTTAGATTAGCAATGCAAATTTCATTTCCACTCACGTATAATATCCCTGATTCCCTTTTTCTTCGTGATGAGTGATAAAAGTTGGGCGTTTCCCGTTTCGTTCAACGCTTGCTTGTGAGAGATTTGATCTCTGGGTTCTAAAAACAATTGAAAGATGAGTAATTAAAATGAATTTTGAGGTACACAGCTAAAATCATGAGCCTAGTTGGGTAATTGAAGCAAAAATGTCCCTGCTTGGGTAACTAAATTGAAATCCGAAAGAAGAGACCTCAAAAACCATAAAGTTTTCATAAACCGAAGCAAATTGGATCAATAAACGGGAATGGGTACAAAGCTAAGCAATTAAACCAAAAATCGATAGATTATTGGCAACTAGACTCAAGCCTAATACTATTGGGTTGGTGAATTGAAAACCGCGGGCTATTGTCATATGTGACAGTTTGAGCACTTTCTTCAAAAGAAACCCATTTTGGTGTCAATGGAAAAGTTGTAGAGAATTAAAAATGAAGCTTATATCCAAATTTTTAGAACGATTCAAAAACTGGTTTTCAAGAAATGCTAAATTTACGAATTTTCACAAAACTTGCATTTTAAGCGAAACTACTAAGTGTAACTTTTTGGAAATTTGGCTATAAGCCTAATTTTTGATTCTCTACAACTTTTCTATTGACACCAAAATGGGTTTCTTTTGAAGAAAGTGCTCAAACTGTCACAGATGACAATAGCCGGCAGTTTTCAATAGCTGAGATAGACTTTTCAATGGCTGAAAGTTACGAGCAGGCAGATTTCCTTAGCTATAAGCTGGTTGAACAGTTTGCTTCAAAGCTAATTCCCTTGCCTCCTAAGCCTAATACCTCGCCCCTTTTGATTACTATTTATTCCGGATCATGAGTAATGAGCTTGCGGGAGAACACTTCGATTCAGAAGAAGCAGTCAAAAATTGGCTCCAAAAGTTTTTCGATTCAAAACCAAAATCCTACTACGAAAGAGGAATGCGAAAATTGCCTGTAAAATGGGCAGAAGTCGTCAATAATAATGGAAATCATTTGGAATGAATTGATGGTTTTATGTTGAATAAATTTTAGTTCAAAGTCCGGCAGTTTTCAATTCACCAACCCAATAGTTGGGTAAATGAATCGAACTGACAGACACAGTTGGGTAATTAATCCAAAATCCCAAACCTTTCTTCTCTAGTCTTCGTCCTCCGAATCGATGAGTGAAATGAGTTCTTATTTGCGGAAACTTTCCTCATGAACATCTCATTTTTCGGTTCTTCTCTAGACGAGCTGGGAATCGGGGCATAGAATGAAGAAGCTGCGTCTAGAAAAGGAATGTCTGAAGTTTCAGATAACAATTTTAGATAACAGATAACAATGGATACCGTATTTTCTCTAATAGTAGTGTAGTCTAGTGCAAGATAAAATTAGCATAATATGCGAAAACTTGGCATTCAAAACACGACAACTTAATAATATAAAATATTCGATTGGCAACTTGAAAGTTGGTACACTTTTTCGTATTTCCCATAAAACATATTTAATACACCAATTGAATTTGACTTCTCTAAATAAAAGTTATATATTATCCAATTTAAGAAATGCTTAAGCAAATTTGGGTAACTTTTGAAACGAATTTGAGCAGAAATTCTAGTTTTTCTGGAAATTTTTCAAACAAACATATAACTAAGGCAATGAGACAAATCGCGCTGAGAATTCGGGGCTATATGCCTAACTTTTTGTGCTCTATCTTTTTTCTATTTACACCAAAATAGGTTTATTTGGAGGAAAGTGCTCAAATCACTTCATCGAGTGTTCATCATTTTTGGTTCCTCGACTTCTTGCCCCTAGAAACCTAGAAAACCGAAGCTTTTCTATCAAATCCATCAAAATCTATCAAAAGCAATAGCAATATGTCAAAGCTTTAGAGAATAAATAGCCCTTTTTATTGGTAAAAACAAAATTGTAGATTAATTGGTGCACTAGTTATTTCTAAAAAGTGCAATGGAACCAAATTTAGAGAGATAAGGAACCAAATTGGAGAGATAAGTGTACCAACTTTCAAGTTACCAACCTAATATCATATATAGATCATATCTAGATCATATATAGATATATATTTATGAATATGATAATAAATAACCTGTTGAGTCAACGTAGATCCCACTTGAAGTCGATGAAGGAAATGTTGGAGGACGATTGGATCGTAAAGACTAAATCGAAAAAAGAGACTTTAGTGGTTGAGAGGGACCACTTTTATCCTGGCTTAGTTGGATCTAATGTTTTAAGTGGTTTTATTGATACCTTTTATCTAATCTAAGGTAATCTAAGGTAAACAAATATGCTTAATAGATTGGTGAGCATTTCAGCAAGTTTTTGGCAATTCTAGCCTAATTCTAGCCTGTTGGACACAGCGACCTAGCTCAATCGGTTAGTATTTTTTGTGCCCAACACAAAAACTATCTGATCTAAAAATTTGGTGTAAGACGTAAAGTAAATTTTGTAAAGCTCTGCAGTTTTCTTGCTAAAAAATGATTCCGGCGCTTAAATCTGTTTTATTTGTGTTCTATACGGTTACTGGAACTAAAATAAACCCAAAAAAATAAGTTTTCGAGTCAAACGCTTGTTCGCCTATTTAACCAAGATCAATGTTAGCAAAACGGTTGTTATAGAAGCTCATTATTTTGAAATTGTGGTTGAGAGGGGCCATTTTTATCCTGGCTTAGTTGGATCTAATGTTTTAAGGGGTTTTATTGATACCTTTTATCTATTCTAAGGTAATCTAAGGTAAACAAATATGCTTAAGAGATTGGTGAGTATTTCAGCAAGTTTTTGACAATTCTAGCCTAATCTCATTCTTGCCTTAGAATAGATAGAAGGTAACTTGAAAATCTAGGAAGGCTGATGTTTCTGCTTTTGTTTCTGAATACTGTTAGATTCACTAAACGCTACCTCAAAGCTGCATACACTTGAAAATCAAATAAAAGCGACAATATGACATTAGCGACATTTACAACATGTTTTAAATGCTTAAAAAGTCTAAGCATCTTTGATTACCCTAGAATAGGTAGATCTAATAGTAGTAGAAACTAGAATAGGAAAGAAAGGTATCAATAAAACCACTTAAAACATTAAATTCAACTAAGCCAGGATAAAAGTGGCCCCTCTCAACAACTAATATGCTTAATTTGTATCAAAAAAACTGTGAATTAACCTTTACAATAGATTTAAACTGTTTATTGATATCTATATACAATATCTAGATAGTTTTAGCATATCTAGATCGTTAATTTTCATACTATGAAACAGTATTCAGAAACAAAAACAGAAAGATCAGCCTTCCTAGTAATCTAAAGTCTAGATCTAGATCTAATAGTAGTAGAAATTAGAATAGGAAAGAAAGGTATCAATAAAATCACTTAGAACATTAAATGCAACTAAGCCAGGATAAAAGTGGCCCTCTCAACAACTAAAGTATCAAAAAAACTGTGAATTAACCTTTACAATAGATTTAAACTGTTTCTAAATGTCTAGATAGTTTTAGCATATCTAGATCTTTAATTTTCATACTGTGAAACAGTATTGTGAAACAGTATACAGAAACAAAAACAGAAACATCAGTCTTCCTAGTAATCAAAGAAAAATTTCCCAACCTGTAAACTATGTCGATTCTTTTCTTCCCTTCGAAATCCTTTCCATTCTTTTCTTCTTTCTTCTTCTCCTTCTTCTTCTTCTCCTCCTTCTTCTCCTTCGTTAACCATCAAATCATTCGCATTTTTATCTTTTTCCATCTTTTTCGAGCTTTTCTTCCAGAATTGAACATCCGCTGAGAGAAATGACAAATAACGTGGCATTCAGTGGATCTAAAATGAATACATTTTTTCAAATCTGATTCCAGAATTTGCTAAGTTGACAGATTTTTGCATAAAATGATGCAAATTTTGTGCAAAATTTGGGGGGTGGGACAAAGGTGCACCTTTTTTTGCGCACCCGACCAAAAGCGCACCTTTTTTTTTCGCTGGAAAAGGCCGTAGAGCTTTAAAAATGTTTCCACATAGGGGAATCATATGCGTAGATTCCGAATTTCGACAAATTAGAACTCGCTGACACGTCAAATTTGGGCTAAGAGGCAAAAACTACGCAACTTAACGCTTTTCCGCAGTTTTTGCCTTTTAGCCCAAATTTGACGTGTCAGCGAGGTCTGATTTGTCGAAATTCGGGATCTACGCATATGATTCCCCTATGTGGAAACATTTTTAAAGCTCTACGGCCTTTTCTAAGGCCTTTTCCAGCGAAAAAAAGGTGCGCTTTTGGTCGGGTGCGCAAAAAAAAAGGTCGCATTTGTCCCACTCCCAAAATGTGTCAGCTTAGCAAATCTGAAAGAACATTTTTAAAGAAAGCTCAAAGTTATAATGAATTAAAGGCATAAAAATAAATGAAACACTTTCAAAGGCAGAAAATAAAATAAATATAATAAATCACTTTTCAACGTGAAAAATTGAAAGCTTTGACTCAAAAACCGGTAGTAACTCCAAAACGCTAAAACTCCAAAAAAAAAAAAACGCTTGAAATCCGGAACGATTGAAGCGGAATCGATTCGGGAAAGGAAAATCGAGGCAAAAAGTTCAGAAACGTTTGAGAATTGAGAATTGCATTTTTTCCGTTTTAGAATTGAGAAATTGAAAATTCTTGAGTCAAAAAATCTAAAAAGAAATTTGAAATGAGTCACGCAAAAGTGAAGCAAAATTTCTAAAGTGTCAAAAAAAACTGGTGAACAAGTGATAAGTCAATTCTTTGGGGAAAGGACAGGAAGCGCTTTCCGGTGAGCAATAAAACCAATGTACTTTGTTCAGGTGGAAACATACTCTTTCTCGTGCACCATATTGCATACAGGGTTTTTTAGGGTTCAAAATGGAAAAAATGGATATATATAGAGGAAATATAGAACTTTAAAATGATGCAAAAATCGTACTTTATTTGTAAAATCATTTATAAAACCATTAAACCATTAAAATCATTTGTAAAAAGAATATTTAATGTCCAGTTATTTACTAAATAGTCCAGTGATTTAAGAATCGGAAATAGGTGTGCAAAATCAATGAAAGGTTGCGCTATTTGGTGCCAAAATTGAGCGGATGCGTTCATTGAGAGTGACAGGGGAATTTGGGGGAATGGATTGTGAGTAGGAAATAGAGTCGAATGGCTATAGAGGGACGGGGGAGAGGCTGGGGAAGAGGACTCGGGCTAGGGCTATTATACAGATCCCCCTCGTGCCCTTATTTCCACCGCCGCACCCATACTCTGGTTGTGAACTGGTCTCCCCTTTTACCTTTTTCATCTAGCCCAAGTCAATTCCAACGGATTTATTTGTTCCTATTTGCCTGCCTTTAGCTTTTAAAGCGTTCATACCAGTGCTCTAGAGGGTCAATACTAGAGCTTTAGAGGGTCCATACTAGAGCTAGAGCTCTAGAGCGTCCATACTAGAGCTCTAGAGGGTCCATACTAGAGCTCTAGAGGATCCATACTAGAGCTAGAGCTCTAGAACGTCCATACTAGAGCTCTAGAGGGTCCATATTAGAGCTAAAGCTCTAGAATGTCCATACTAGAGCTCTAGAGGGTCCATACCAGAGCTAGAGCTCTAGAATGTCCATACTAGAGCTCTAGAGGGTCCATACTAGAGCTAGAGCTCTAGAATGTCCATACTAGAGCTCTAGAGCGTCCATACTAATAGCTCTAGAGCGTCCATACTTTCCCATACACAAAATTCAAGAAAATTGTGACTTTTTGATTGGCAATTGTCAAAATAAACCCCGCCAATCGATTCGTTGACTCCGAAAACCCCTAGGCATAAGTTTTTGGCTTTAGATCTCAATTGTAGAAGATTTACAGACGAAAAAATCTCTGGCTGGCGAGGTGTTCTTTGTGCGGTCGCTCTCCATCTGGCATACCATTTGGGTATAAAAGGTTTTCCTTTTCGAATCTGTAAAGGGGAAGGAGGTAGGGAAATTCGTAAAGAAGAAATCTCTAAATTAACAAAGCAAGAATACGTCTAGGTTTAAAGTCGTTAAGGTTTAAAGTCAAGTTTAAAGTCGTTTAAAGCACGAGAAAGATGGCGTTTACGTGAGTACAAAGTACGCTTCGTTGAAACTCTCGAAGCACAAAAAGGCAACAGATTTGAGGCTTAAAAAGGGAACACTTGAAAGAATTTTTGCTGTTCGATGAATGCTTTCTTTTCTTTTTTTTTCCTTTTCCCGTTTCAATCATAAATAAATATGCCTGAAGAATGTGTCAAAATTGGCGCCTCAAAGAGAAAGAGATAAGCTCTCTTTCTGGAAAGAAGCATAAGAAGATAAGCATCAAGATTGTATAGAAACAAGTGTATAGAAATGGCTAATTGAACCGGACGCTAGATGCTGTGCGTTTCTATGTAAAAGCAGCATTCAACGAACACTCATAATCACTTCCTTTTCCCTTAAGGGCTTAGGTCAGTTTCTGACCCTTAGGTCAAAAACTGACTCAAAAAAATAGCGCCAAAGCTAAAGGAAGCTCTGTCTAAAGCTAAAGAAAGCTCTGCGCTTAAGCTAAAGAAACAGTCTACAGCTAAAGAAAGCTCTTCCAACAATTCCTTCCATTCCAACTTCCAACAATTCTTTCCATGCCAACTTCCAACAATTCCTTCCATGCCAACTTCCAACAATTCCTTCCATTCCAACTATTTCCCCCACCCTCCACCCATAGTATTGGGTTGGTGGAAAAGTCCTTTCGGATTTTTGGGAGAGTACCTTAAATTTGTCGAATTTTGACGTTTTATAGCTCATCCTAAAGCTGAATTCAAGACGGATCGATTGGTAAAAACCGTTTTGAGATATCTCTTTTCTAAAAGTTTTTACAGCTATTTTAGTAAAGGGCGGCAGAGCCAAAAAATGGCTGTTTTCACGTTTCGTTAGTTTTCCGTGCAGAAACCTAGGCTAAAAACATGTGTTTCGTGATCAGCGTCAAAAACAACCCCTAGACACAAATTTTCAGAATCTTAGCAAAAAATTTTTGACAAATATTGTCACCGGTGGAAGTCGAACCAGCGACCCATCATTCGCTGAATGATTCGATGATGTTCTTGTGAATAGTAAGTCCTTCATTGGCTTTTTCACTAGCTACCTGAATGATGTGAATGATTCGATGATGTAAATAACGGAGGAGGGATTCTTCGGTAGTGGGGGTATTGTTCAATCTATCAGGGAGTAATGCGCGCTTCGAATTTCCCAATACTGGCAATTTACCAAGTGTTTACTTGGTAATAAACTACACACTCACTAGATTTATAATCATTCCCCTTTTTCCTTTGCTAGTGGATTTTACTGCAAAAGAATGGATGACAGCTCGTGACAGGATGAGAGCTCGTGACAGGATGAGAGCTCGTGACAGGATGAGAGCTCGTGACAGGATGAGAGCTCGTGCTTCAAGCTTCGTGCTTCAAGCTTCGTGCTTCAAGCTTCGTGCTTCAAGCTTCGTGCTTCAAGCTTCGAGCTTCAAGCTTCGAGCTTCAAGCTTCGAGCTTTAAGCTGCCATTCTCTACGATTTCAAAGAAGGAAAAACCCCTACTGAATCTACTGAATCTCATCGTTCACTTGTCAAAGCGGGCTTGGGATCAAAAAATTGCTGAATCATGCTTTGTTTGAAATTCCAAAGGATTGATGCATTATGAAGTGCTAAAATCTAGACAAACAGTCGCAGATCTTTACTCGAAAGAACTAGTGATGAGAACTAGCGAAAGAACGAAGCCCGAACGAAATTCTTGGGCATCTAGGGTATCTAGGGCGATTCAGATTTAGCTAAGAATCTTGGATTCTTAGCGGCGTTAATCGTTCGGTCGTCCCCACTGTGCGTTTAAACTTTTCAATAGCGCTCAAAGAACACTCAAACCATACGGGAAAAGACTCAAAATTGATCATTCTTTGCATTCGCCAACCATTTGTTCTTTCCCTTTGCCTTTTTTTCTCAAATTTCTCTCATTTCCCCATTTTCTTTCCACTGATCTCTCTGACCTTTTCCCCATTTTTCCCTAATTTCTCGGATTTCTCTCTATAATTTCCCAACTCGTGCCCATTTCCATTTCATTTCGCTTGACTCCATTTACAGTTAAACTTTTCTATTTAGCTGAATTTCCTTCCCGAATAGGATATTACTTAAATTTTTCTTCAAAATGCGTTCACGAGCCCTTTCGCCAATCACTTCCGCTAAAGCACAGGTGGGTTTTTTTTGGCAAAATTCGAATAAGTTTTATTGATTGTTGTTGTTTTATCGAGCTTTGTTGAATTAATTATTAAAAACAAGTTAATATTTGCCGAGGTTAGAAAATTTGGATACTATTAAGTATCTGTTGATACTTAATATTGGGTTGTCCAGTTATGAATGCGCGTTTTTACGATTTTGTAAATTTCTCAAGATATCGAACAGATGGATATGAGTGTTATATATCATTCGAAAGCTGAAGATCTCCTCTACATTTTGATATAAAAACCTTTGGAATTTGTTCAGCTTTTGGGCAAATTGACTGCACAAAGGGAGAAGTCGTTTTCGAAAAAGCCCATTTCAGTTTAGCTATTCCTCAAGTTTTATGCTGTAAAATAACCGCCCAGAAAAGAAAAGAAAAGTAAAGATGCTCTGAAATTGTTATATTTTTAAAAAAAGTTGTATTGATATATCTATTGGCCAAACATCAAACGGTTAACTCAATCAGAGCGGAGCCAAAACTTGATCCAAAGGCACCCTTCCATTTTTTGGCCACCTCTTCTTCTGTGCAGTCAATTTGCCCAAAAGCTGAATAAATTCAAAAACTTTTTATATCAAAATGTAGAGGAGATCTTCAGCTTTCGAATAATACTCATATATATCTTTTTCTTGATTTCGGTACCTTGAGAAATTTACAAAATAGTAAAAAACGCGCATTCATAACTGGACAACCCAATAGTATCCAATGATACTTTAAAGTGATTTTCCCGCAATTCCAGCTCCGAAAAAAGAAATGGAATGGCTTTATTGGTATTAGGTTGGCGACATTGAAATTTCGTTTTTCGAAGAACTAGAAGTTCTCAGCCCAATTGCTCAATTTTCTCTTGCGTAATTTTGGCAACTTGAGGACGGGCATTGCAACAGTGCGATTGTCCTGTAACAATAGCACTGTTGTCGGATCGATTTCTTTTGAGTGAAGAAACGCGTCCACGCGATCTAGTTGTTGAACGTAAAGATTTGCATCAACAGTCTGACCAGAAATTAACACTTCGAAATGAATCAGGCCTCGGGTATTTCACCAAACCGACAGCATAACTTTCTTTTCGTGAAAATCGGGTTTAGATATTCGCTTTGGAATTTCACCCGAGTCGAGCCATTGTCTTTTCGTTGTAATATTGTCATAATGAATCCATTTCTTATCAGAAGTTAAAATTGGATCTCAAAATCCACTATTCTTGGAGATTCTAAGCAAATTTCCAGAACAAAGAACTCTGATGGCTTTGTTTGCATCGCTTAGTGAATGTGGAATCCATTTTTCAGCTTTATTGATCTTGCCCAATTCATGCAAATGGTTTTCGATCGATTTCGATTTCGATTTGTCGGATCACTTTCGATTATCTGCTTCAAATCGTCATTTGCCACAGCCTGTGAGCAGTGTCATCGTTCCAGATCTTCCAGACTTCGGTCACTCTCTCGATCTTTTGAACCCGTTTTGACATTGGTGAACAGTGATAACATCTTTCCAAAATACGTTACAAAGTGATTCATGCGATTCAGTTGCTGTTTTTTCTTGTTTGAAATCGTACACATACGAAGTCGATATTTGAGGTCGTCTAGCATCTAAAAATTTTTTTATTTAAATTCTTCAACTCGAAATAAAGAAAAGATAGTAATAAAGCATAATAATTATATCTTTAAAACAGAAGAGATTGCGGTGGTAATAGTATCCACAATGTTAAAATCCAGAAAGAGAAACGCTAAATGAAATTTCAATGTCGCCAACCTAATAGTGGTATGAAAATAACGAATAAACTCTATTACAGCGTTTACGTCAACAACAATAAACAATCAATAAACCTAAATAAACAATCAATAAATAACAATAAATAACAATAAATATCAATAAATAACAATAACCATCAATAAACAACAATAACCCATCAATAAACAACAATAAACAACAATAAACAACAATAAACAACAATAAACAACAATCCACAACAATAAACAACAATCCACAACAATCAACAATCAATAAACAACAATAAACAACAATAAACAACAATAACCCATCAATAAACAACAATAACCCATCAATAAACAACAATCCACAACAATAAACAATCAATAAACAACAATAAACAATCAATAAACAATCAATAAACAATCAATAAGCAACAATCAATAAACAACAATAAACAACAATAAACAATCAATAAACAATCAATAAACAATCAATAAACAACAATAAGCAACAATAAGCAATAATAAACAACAATAAACAATCAATAAACAACAATAAACAACAATAAACAACAATAAACAACAACAAACAACAATAACCCATCAACAACCAAAAAAACAATAAACCAAAGTAACAGCAACGATTAGAAATAAATTTTTGTCGAAAAATTCTTCCCACAGAATACAGTAACCAAAAATACGACGTGAACAAGCTAGGTCACAAAATAGAAAACACAAAGTCGTCAAAATTCGATCCTATCTGTTTACTAAGAGTTTAAAATATGATTTAAATAATTTAAATAATTTAAAGTTATTTTTTCGTAATTCTAGCTCCGAAAAGAGATTGGATATCAATTGGGATTGATTGAAGAGGAGGAAATCGAAAAACAAAGCTGGACCGTTCAACGAACGCTCATCGAATCACGTCAATTTCAAGCAGCTCAAAGAATATCCGTTTATGTGAATACAAAGGCCGAGGTTTCGTTGAATATCTTAAATGCTAAGGGTAATTTCTTGTGCTGAAATCCTAGCACTGGATTTTAAGCCTAAGTCTAAGCCTGTGCCTGAGCCTGTGCCTAAGTCTAAGCCTAAGTCTAAGCTTCAGTCTAAGCCCAACTTAGCTCCGAGAACTGGCTGAGATCCAGAAAATGGGGGTTTAGTCCAAACCCAAATAGACTTAGTGCGAGGCGCTAGCCGCTAGCCTTCGCACTAAGTCCAAGCCTAAGCCTAAGCCTAAACCTAAGCCTAAAACTGGGTGAGATCCAGAAAATGGGGGTTCAGCCCAAACCCAAATAGACTTAGTGCTAGGCGCTAGCCGCTAGTCTAAACCTAAGCCGACGCCTAAGCCTAAGCCTAAGCCTAAGCCCAGCCTTTACTGAGTCTAAATAGGTGTAGAGTAAAATAAAATAGTAAAATTAGTAAAAGTAAAAGTAGAATTCCCCCTCCCCCACCCCGTTATAGGGAAAGCACCGAAATTTTCGTCATAAAGCGTGTGTTTCCAAAGGCAAAGTACAAGAAAAATCACTTTTATTTCAGATTCTCACTGATCGAATCATTCACGAATGTCTCCGCTTAGGAAAAGAGCTTTTCATTCCACATGTGAGTCGTCAAAATGTCAAAATCAAAAAAGGCATCAGAATGGTTCTATAGCTTTATATGGAAATGGCTTAAAACTTGTATCGAAAGCTATAGAACTAAAAAACTAATAAAAAAAACTAATAAATAATAACTATAGAATAATAAGTATAAAATTTTAAAAACAAATTTCACTATGGAACATTTTAGTTTCGTCGAAAAGATCCTCGAATGCGAATGCTGAGACTGAATGGATTAAACGAGTTTGAGGTGAGATTTTTGAGAACTTTTAAAGTGTTTTTAAAGTGCTTAGGCTTTAAAAGTGCTTTAAATTGCTTTAATTTGCTTTAAAGTGATTTAAAGTTCTTTAAAGTGCTTTTAAAGTTCTTTAAAGTGCTTTAAAGTGATTTAAAGTTCTTTAAAGTGCTTTTAAAGTTCTTTAAAGTGCTTCTAAAGTTCTTTAAAGTTCTTTAAAGTGCTTTTAAATTGCTTTAAAGTGCTTCTAAAGTTCTTTAAAGTGCTTTAAAGTGCTTTAAATTGCTTTAAAGTGCTTTTAAAGTTCTTTAAAATGCTTTAAAGTGCTTTAAAAGGCTTTAAAGTTCTTTAAAATGCTTCTAAAGTTCTTTAAAGTGCTTTAAAGTGCTTTAAATTGCTTTTAAGTGCTTTTAAAGTGCTTTAAAGCGCTTTTAAAGTGATTTAAAGTGCTTTAAAAGCAACTTAAAGCACTTTAAAGCACTTTAAAAGCACTCTAAAGCGCTTTAAAGCATTTTAAAGCTCTAAAACTTGTAAATAATAAAATAAAAGCTTTTTATTACATTTCTTTTATCTAATATCTATTATTTAGTAAATAAACTACAACTTATCTCATTCAGAATCTTGACTCAACCCTTTGGAACATACGTCAACATTCACAAGACACAGAAGCTGAAGAATATGTGGGAACTGGTAGGGTTTAAGCTTTAAAAAAGACTTTATTTGGATTGGATTGGATAAGCGAAATAGCTTGGATAAGTGAATTAGTTTTTAAATTGTATTTAGCTTAGTTTTTAAATTGTATTTAGTTATTTTTGAAAACAAACAAAAAACTCTTTCAGGTGCTTTGGATTTAATCGTGATGCCTGGAGTAGCGTTCACGAGAAATGGAGATCGTTTGGGACATGGAATGGTGAGGGGGAAGATGGTTTATTGTAATTTATTGGATTAGCTTTGATTTAGATTGAATTTGATTGAATTTGATCGAATTTGATTGAATTTGATCGAATTTGATCGAATTTGATTGAATTTGATTGAATTTGATTGAATTTGATTGAATTTGATTGAATTTGATTGAATTTGATCGAATTTGATCGAATTTGATTGAATTTGATCGAATTTGATCGAATTTGATTGAATTTAGATCGAATTTGATTGAATTTGATTGAATTTGATCGAATTTGATTGAATTTGATTGAATTTGATTGAATTTGATTGAATTTGATCGAATTTGATTGAATTTGATCGAATTTGATCGGATTTGATTGAATTTGATCGAATTTGATCGAATTTGATCGAATTTGATCCAATTTGGATCCAATTTAGCTCTAGTTTGGCTCTATTTAGGCTCTAATTTAGCTCTAATTTAGATGAGCTTTCTTAAAATCAACCAAATCAACCAAATCTACCAAATCAACTAAATCAACCAAACCAACCAAACCAACCAATTCAACCAAATCAACCAAATCAACCGAATTTCTAGGGTTACTATGATAAAATGCTTGCCGAACACGAGGATCTCTTTGGGAAACAACCGATGAAAGTGGCGCTGGCTTTGAATGAACAGGTGGAGCGATTGAATTCAATTGAATTGAATTTTCGAAACCTCGATCATAATGATCTTTCTTCAATCATAATGATCTTTCTTTCTATTCAGATTATCCCAAATGTTCCTCTTCATCCAACTGACATCTCTATTGATTCAATTCTATTTGAAGAGGAATTGTCGAAGAAAGAAATGACGATGAGAATTGGAAGAAGGGATTCACATCAATCATAATTCACCTCAATGATAACTCACATCAATCATAACTCACATCAATCATAACCGATCTGTCATTTCCTATGTACTGATAAATGGTGTCAACGACAGGAAAATGCATAAGATTTACACAAATCACAAAAAGAAGCCAAGTTCGGTTGCGCTTGAGTACAAAGCATTCAACGAGGCTTGTCTTGTTCTTTTGTGTTTTTCCTTTTCTTCTCAAATCTCCTCAATCGATTAGTTTGGGGTGTGATCCGCTTTAACTTTATCATTTGACTTTATCATCGCGGATGATTATATTTCAGAATAGCCGAGTAGCACAAAAGACAGTAGCACAAAAGACAGCAGTAGCACAAAAGACACAAAAAGTCGATAACTTTTTGCAACAAAGCAAGCTCCCGTTCGTCACAATTTTAAAGTTCATTCATCTATGGAGCCAGGGACTCACGACAATCAAATACTGTCAGCAGGAGCTCGACATTAGTGGCAACACCGTTGTTGAGTGGGACTTCTTTCGCCGCCAAGTGTGCGCTTGGAAAATCAAGAAGCTTTCGATTAACAAGATCGGTGGTGCCGAACTCACCGATCGATGAATCGCAGATCGATAAATCACTGATTGCAAAGCGCAAAAACCACGCCGGTAGGACGCTGCCAGAACGTTGGCTTTTTGGTGGTCTGTGTCGTGAAACAAGGAGAATGCTTCGCTTTTATTGTGCCAAACCGAACGGCTCTGGTTCTGCTTGAAGCGATTCGAAAATATATCGAAAAGGGGACTCGAATCATCTCTGATGGATGGCGTGCATACCAAGGGCTTCTCACTGACCAAAATTACGATTTTGCATGGGTCAACCACTCGACAAATTTTGTTTTGCCGAAAGATCCGACCGTGCACACGCAAACAATCGAGCGAATGTGGAAACCGTTTAAAGATATGAACAGACGTCGACACGGCACTCACGGCACCATCGTGGATTCGTATATCGCTGAGGGATTGTGGCATCGCCTGCCGGAGTGAACGCCGGCATTGCCTGCCGGAGCGAATGCATTCGAGTCGATCATAGAGGACATCGTCAATTTTTGGTCCGCAGGGGCGAAAATGAAAACAATCCCTTTTTTATAGTTAATTTGTGATTGCCAGAAAGGTTTTTGATTTGATTTGATTTGATTACTTTTGTTTTGGTTACTTTTCTTTTGGTTACTTTTGTTTGTTTTGCTTACTTTTGTTTTGGTTACTTTTCTTTTGGTTACTTTTATCTTGGTTACTTTTATCTTGGTTACTTTTGTTTCGGTTACTTTTGTTTTGGTTACTGTTTTGGGTACTTTTGTTTTGGTTACTTTTGTTTTGATTACTTTTGTTTTGGTTACTTTTCTTTTGGTTACTTTTATCTTGGTTACTTTTGTTTCGGTTACTTTTGTTTTGGTTACTGTTTTGGGTACTTTTGTTTTGGTTACTTTTGTTTTGGTTACTTTCTTGGTCACTTTTATCCTGGTCACTTTTGTCTCGGTCACTTTGTTTTGGTCACTCCTTGGGCACCCTTTTGTTTTGGCCACTTTGTCTTGATCACTTTTGTTTGGCCACTCTTCCTGGTCACTTTATCCTGGTCACTTTTGTTTCGGTCACTTTTGTTTTGGTCACTTTTTGGGCACCCCTTTTTTGGTCACTTTGTCTTGGTCACTTTCCTGGTCACTTTTATCCTGGTCACTTTTGTTTCGGTCACTTTTGTTTTGGTCACTTTTGTTTTGGTCACTTTCCTTGGTCACTTTTTTTTGGTCACTTTTATCCTGGTCACTTTTATCCTGGTCACTTTTGTTCCGGTCACTTTTGTTTTGGTCACCGTTTTGGTCACTTTTGTTCTTTTCTCTGGTCACTTTTATCCTGGTCACTTTGTTTCGGTCACTTTGTTTTGGTCACTTTTGGGCACCTTTTTCTTGGTCACTTTTGTTTGGCCACTTTCCTGGTCACTTTTATCCTGGTCACTTTTGTCGGTTACTTTTGTTTTGGTTACTTTTGTTTTGGTTACTTTTCCTTTGGTTACTTTTGTTTTGGTTACTTTTATCTTGGTTACTTTTATCTTGGTCACTTTTTCCGGCCACTTTTGTTTTGGTCACCGTTTTGGTCACTTTTGTTTTGCTTACTTTTCTGGTCACTTTTCCTTTGGTCACTTTCTTGGTCACTTTTTTCCGGTCACTTTTGTTTTGGTTACTGTTTTTGGTTACTTTTGTTTTGGTTACTTTTGTCTTGGTTACTTTTATCTTGGTTACTTTTATCTTGGTTACTTTTGTTTCGGTTACTTTTGTTTTGGTTACTGTTTTGGTTACTTTTGTTTTGGTTACTTTTCTTTTAGTTACTTTTGTTTTGCTTACTTTTGTTTCGGTTAATTTTGTTTTGGTTACTTTTCTTTTGGTTACTTCGTTTACATTTCTTTCGTTGTTATGATCAATTATACTATTAATGAATAATTTTTTAGGTAGCCATTTGTTCGTTCGGGATTGTGAAGCGTTGTTCGGGATTATGGAGCGTTGTTCGGGATTGTGGAACGCAAAAAAAGGCGACCGATCGGGAAGGTAGAGGTAGGTTTGGTGTTAGATATTTAAGTCACTTTTGTGATCTAATATAAAGGTTGTGAAAATAACGAATAACGAATAGAATTCGCGGATTTTATGGTGGTAGTTTGTATAATATACACTCTGTCAAAAAATTATAGACGCACCCTGTTTTTTGCTAGTTAAGAGCCGGATATAAGTGCTAGTCCAGTGAAAAGTATTTTTTTAGTTTCTTTATTGTAAAAAAAACAACCCATGCAAAATTTCAAGTCATTTCACTCATCCAAAGTACTTTATCGTACAAAAAACGTTTTAACAGCCGTCAAAAAATTATAGACGCACTTTTCTTTATCAAGGAAAAGTTAACAGAAATAAAAATAACAACACAAACCAAATAAATTAATAATGCGTGGCCCCTCCTTGCTTTAGTCCAACTTCAAAAAGACGCCTCGGCATCGAAGAGACAAATAAATTAATAATGTGTGGCCCCTCCTTGCTTTAGTCCAACTTCAAAAAGACGCCTCGGCATCGAAGAGACAAATAAATTAATAATGTGTGGCCCCTCCTTGCTTTAGTCCAACTTCAAAAAGACGCCTCGGCATCGAAGAGACAAATAAATTAATAATGCGTGGCCCCTCCTTGCTTTAGTCCAACTTCAAAAAAGACGCCTCGGCATCGAAGAGACAAATAAATTAATAATGCGTGGCCCCTCCTTGCTTTAGTCCAACTTCAAAAAGACGCCTCGGCATCGAAGAGACAAATAAATTAATAATGCGTGGCCCCTCCTTGCTTTAGTCCAACTTCAAAAAGACGCCTCGGCATCGAAGAGACAAATATTAGGTTGATGCAAAAGTCTTTTTCATTTTTTTCGTACTTCCGTTAAAAAGTAACAAATGCACCAATTGAACAACGGTTTATTGCATTCGAAAGGCCAATTATTTTTCTGCAAAATGACATTAAAACGAGTTTAAAATGTCTTGTGTCTAGATTTTTTTGAGAGCCTGAAGTCGGGTAGTCAAAAAAGGCGACGGCTCGATGATGCATTTTAGACGCTTTAGCTAAGGAAACCAATCTTGATGTTAATAAATAAAAGATAGAGCACAAAAAGTTAGATATTTTTTCAGATTTTCAGAGAAATTGATTCAGCCAATTTCTTTATAGAGGTTTTTATAGATTTTTATGAAAAACCCGTTTTCACTCTCGAATTTGCTTGAAAGTGAACCCAAATTGACTTAAAAAGATGGGAAATTGAACAATAAACACTTTTCATTTAGAGCAAACCATATGTTAATTGATGACTTTGTTATTTTTCAAAAGAAGTACGAAAAAAATGAAAAAGACTTTTGCATCAACCTAATAAATTAATAATGCGTGGCCCCTCCTTGCTTTAGTCCAACTTCAAAAGTCTTTTTGTCTCGGCATCGAAGAGACAATGACTTGAAATTTTGCATGAGTTGTTTTTTTTACAATAAAGAAACTAAAAAAATACTTTTCACTGGACTAGCACATATGTCCGGCTCTAAACTAGCAAAAAACAGGGTGCGTCTATAATTTTTTGACAGAGTGTATATTATACAAACTACCACCATAAAATCCGCGAATTCTATTCGTTATTCGTTATTTTCACAACCTTTATATCAGATCACAAAAGTGACTTAAATATCATATGTAGCGCTGTCAAAATTTGCGATAATCCCCCGGAGAATCCTTCCGCTCCCCCCGATATTGGAAAAGTACCGCTCTTTCTAATAGAAAAAGAAATAATAGTTATTTAGTTATTTAGTTATTTACAAATAGTTATTTAGTTATTTATATGTCGTAGCCGATTATGAATGAAATTTTTTGGCAAATCTTTCTAGTAGAGCAACCCTTTAATGTATGAGGACAATATTATATCAACTTGTAGCGAATTCAGTTCTGCGTCGATTGGTACCAAATTTGTGAGTTTAGGTTAAAAATTGCCGGCGCTACAACGTTTCATTCAAAATCGGCGGGACCCCCGTAGCCGATTATGAATGAGTGGGTCTAGGAGCGTCCAACCATCAAGTTTTTGGTATCATTCAACGCAGAATCATTAATAATTATGTTAAATTTTTTAAATTAGAAAGATTGAATGAAAAGAAAAAAAATTAGAGCAAAAAACTGTTTGTTCAAGAGAAAACTTTGAAGCCCCATAATTTTTTTTCTTTTTATCCAATCTTTCTAATTTAAAAAATTTAACATAATTATTAATGATTCTGCGTTGAATGATACTAAATATTTGATGGTTGGACGCTCCTAGACCCACTCATTCATAATCGGCTGAAATTCATAATCGGCTACGACAAATAAATAGTTATTTATTTATTTATTATTAAATAAATCAATTTAATAGAAAGCTTTTAAAGCTTTTAAACTAGAAATAATAGTTAGAGCGTTGTTTAAAATGGAAAACTCTTTATCTTAGGTGGTGCGCTTAAGAATTGTAC